AAATTAGCAAAAACTGGACTAGATAGAAAATCCATTAGATTCAAAATTGGCTGCTGAATCAGAGACAAAGAGTGCTCATCAATGGAACCTTCTCAAATTGAATGGAGGTAGCTAGTGGGGTGCCACAGGGTTCAGACCTAGGCCCAGGGCTCTTCAACATCTTTATTAATGATTTGGATGAGGAAGTACAAGCAAAGATAATTAAATTTGCAGAAGATAAAAAACTGGGTTTTTAGCAAACACCCTAGAAGGCAGACTGAAGATCCAGGCAGTTTTGATAAATTTGAACACTGGACTGAAAGCAAAAGAATGTGATTCAATAAGGACAAGTGCCAAGTGCTCCACCTAGGAAAAAGAAACCAAATGCATTGATACAAGATGGGCAATACATGGCTCAACAGACCTGAAAAAGAAAAAGATCTCAGACTAATTGTGGACAACAGGTAAATATGAACTATCAATGCGATGCAGCTGCCAAAGGGCAAATGCTATTTTGGGATTCATTAACAGAAGTATTACCTCCAAATCACGAGAAATATAGTTTCCCTATATGCCTCACGGTGTCCAGTTCTGGCCACCAAGATTTAAGAAAGATGCAGGTAAATTAGAAAGGGTCCAGCGGAGGGCAACAAAAGTGATCCAGGGTTGGGAAACACTGCCCTATGAGGAGAGATGGAGAGAACTGGGCATGTTCAGCCTTGATAAGAGAAGACTGAGGAGGGATATGGTATCACTCTATAAGTACCTCAGAGTCACAAAGAGGAAGGTCAAGATCTCTTCTTGCTGATATTAGAGTGTAGGACACGGAATAATCGATTCTGGCTGTGACAGCCCAGATTCAGGCTAGATATCAGGAAAAGCTTCCTCACTGTCAACAGTGGTACCAGCTGCCTAGAGAGGTGGTGAGCTCTCCTATACTAGGGCCATGGTGTAAATTGGTGTCCTGCAACATCAGGAGTTTGGACCCGATGGCCTTCATGGCTCCTTCCAACTACTGTTTTATGATTCCGTGACTGAAAATGTCCCATTCCAGTCCAGTTTAGTTTGTTCACACCAAATACTGCAATATTTAGCCATCCCATTTCTTGCTGTACTCTTTCCAGTCACCCAGAGAGCTTTGGCGATTGAGCAGTATAAAAAGGAAATCATCATCATCACCACCACCAGCAGCAGCATCTGACATTCCATGTTCCAATTGCATGTGTTGCACAGCATCAGGCTTTTCTTTCACCTCTGTCCATGTCACCCACTAGAATCCTTTCAGTTTTAATCTACTTCCATTATTAGCAACAGCACTATTTGTACTTGTCCCTTTGATGTTCTCCAGTAGCTTGTTGAGTGCCCTCCAGCCTGTACCTCTCATCTTCTGATCCTATCTCTTGTTTCATTTTGTATTCTTTCATCATAGAGTTTTCAATATAAGAAGATGCAAAGTGGTTTATCATTGGCTCCTTTTCAGCAGTACTAACCAGAGTTAGTTTGGATATGCTTCTGGAGTCAGTGGGGTGTGGTAGTGGGAGATGTTATCATTAGGCACATAGACAGCTGCATTTGTGATGCACATGCAGTCCACGTGAAAGCCAAATTTAGGTTGCTAGGTACATAGTTGAAATTTGGGACCACCAAGGTGGCTTACTCTGAAATGATTGTCCATACTGCTAGGCTTATAAAGTAACAGCTGGCAATATCCTTCACTCCCATATGATATTTGGAACTGGTAAATAACTTGGCAAAGAGGACATCTTAACCTGGCATTAAAAAGACAGTAAACTTAGTATCATGCAGGCCTCAGTGGGGAACTCATTCCATAATTTCAGATCTACCACAGAGACCAAGTCATTGTTATACTGATCTATTACTACTCTGAGTCCATATTTTTTATGTTCTGTTGTGTTTGCAAAAATGTTACTAGGGAAACAGAGCATACATCAGGAATAGCACACTGAATCAGAGGAATTGCTGCTTTAAATTTTGCCATTCTCTTTTAGGCGCAGCTTTTATCCTGCCTCAAACAGAGGATTTTACAGGGATCCAGATGTTGTGTTCCATTATCTGTCTACCCAATATTTCCATTTTTTTCTTACCAAGAATATTTTTAAGAAATCAATTACAAAAATTACTATGAACATCCATTGCACCAGAACAGGAAAGAGTAAAGAAAGAGGCATGCAACTAATTTACAAGCCACATAAGACAGAATTCTTTGATTTAAGCTACTTTAGGAATAATTCTCAGTGAATGCAGCGAGGCTTAGCGTAGACGTGCATAGGTTTATATTGTAGGTCTGCAGTGTGTTATTATTCAAAGGAAAGTAGACTTGGTAATGCTGTTTCCTAGAATGTTGGAACACTCAGGGAAGTGGGACCTGTGTAGCAGGATTATGACACAGTTCTACCACAATTGCACCATAGATCTACAGGATGGGTCTGGGTGTTCTTGTTGTTGTAAGTGTCTCATGCTATGCAATGTCTCTTGAACGTCTGCTATGTGAGAGATAATGAAAACGTTATCAATATGCTGATGCCACACACTGCCATTTCTGGATGGACAATAGAGTGGATGATGGCTGATAAACTGAATATTAGGACCATACTGAAGATCAATTCAGAAAAGACAGGTGCTCTTAGTGGGTGGTTTTTCTGATCAGATGGCTGGGGGTGCACAACCTGCTCTGAATGGGTTGTCTCTTTCTTGCAGGAGCAGGTCTGTAGCTCGTGGGTTCTCCTGAAGCCATCCCTGTTGCTTGCAACTCAAGTCGTCTTAGTGGAACAGAGTACCACTAGTGGGCAGGTACACCTCTGCCTGGACAGAAATACCTTGGTTTCAGTAATCTATGCATTATACAATGCATCTATGCATTGGTAACCGCTGAGTTAGATTATTGCAATGTACTGTACACGAGATTGCTTTTCAGTTCAGAAGGTTCCACTTGTGCAAAATGCAGCAGCCAATTTAATAACTGAGACTAAAGGCCTGAACATAGAGCACCAGTTCTGGCTGAACATTGGCTGCCTACATGCTTCTGAGCCATTTCAAGTTGTTATTTTAACCTAACTTGGGACAACAATACCTGATGGAAAGCCTTCCCACCTGAATCTACCCAGATACTACAAGCAATACCTGACACTTTCCTCCAAATGCCACCTTTGAGGGAGGCTTGGAGGGTGACAACAAGGGAGAGGGTCTTTCTGTGGTTGCCCCCAGCCTGCATTAATTGGAAGTATCTCCCCATTGAGAACCACCTGGGGCCAATGCTGTCTTCTTTTCAGCAGAAGGTTGAGGGAGACTTCTATCCCCAGGAATTTAATGGTATTTACAAGACAGCATTTATGTCAGCTGTCTTTTTAATGTGCCTAGTATTTTAACTGACATTGTTTTAGATGTTTACATTGTTTAAACTTTTGTCTATTGAAGCATTATGTGGTTCTTTATTATGTGTATTTGTGATTTTAATTTTATGAGTTGTTGTGAACTGCCCAAAAGACATTACCTATTAGGGAATTAATGAATGAATGTACTTGGATTCCTCAGCCTTGAATGTTTCCCCAGCTCCATGAAGCCAGTAGGCCAGATGTTGTCAGGGGATAGGACAGTACCTCAGAAGCCCTTCCACCCTTAGATCATCTGATTTGACTTTTCTTTTTCTTCTTTTTCCATTTTCTTATGGTGCCATCTTCGTATTGGTCACTAGTGATGTGAGCAAGAACTCAGATGTATCAGGTTCTACTTCTGCTGTTTCTCTTGTTCCTTGAAAAGTATGAGGAATCCTGGGATTTCTGGGATGAGGTCCTGCAGAGCTCAGACATGTGAGGATTCACCATACCCTTCTGATTGGAAAGTGGGCAGCACAAAGGAGAATCCTTTGCTCTGCTTTTTGAGATCTTTGACCACTGGAAAATAGTCTAATATTTTTTGGAAGAGTGTACTTGCCATGTTGAATGAGGTGTCAGGTTTCACACTTTTCCACTAAATAAAACAGCATTGTTGCCAATTCAGCAGCAGTGGAGTTGCAATAAGTATCTCATTATAGAAGGCAGTTTCCCTTTCCAAGAAAATCACTCCAGGACCAGATCAAAAGCATCCCACAGTAGCCAACCTAATGCCTATGACATGAGCACAATAGCCCCTTCCTGTTCATGTTCTCCAGCTAGCTCCATTAGTCCAGTGATGGACTGTAGACCCATCATTACTAGTAGCCATTAAAAGCCTTACCTTTCTTTAAGCCAGTCAGCTGTTAAAGTTTAACTGGATAAGTGACCCTTCATAGTTTCTGAAGGTGCTTGCCAGTCAGCATACCTAGTATAGCAATCTGTAACCTGGTGCCCTCCAGGTATAGTTGACTACAACTATTGGAATCTGGCAGCCAGCAAAGAGGGAAAATTGCATGAATCTTGCAGTGCAAAAGCAATACTTTTCCTGGGTTACATGTGTTTGGGTAATGAGATGCCATCCTGCCAACAGGTGGATGTTCCTGCCTTTCTGAAAAGGCTTTAAATCTTCATTCTCAGAAAAGAGATTAACCAAGCACTGAATGTTCTACCTACCTAACAGATATAAACAAATTATCAGGCAAAAAAACACACTGAAGGCCCAAAATTAGGATTGAGGGTAAGACAGGATGAAAATGTCATTAAAGGCTTGATTTGCTGAGTCTCTATTACAGGCATCCATGTTAGTCATGTATGTTAGCAGTGAAATTATGTGTAATTATAGTCTTACACCAACATATTGTTTTAATTTTCTCTGTACAAATGGAAGGAGGATGAGAGTGGGAGTTAGATACACCCAGTTAATTTGCAGTGTGTGTGTATATATTTCCTTAAGAATTACTCTGTGAGATAAATTGGGACCAATTCCTTTATGAAGTAAAGACAGAAACAGAACATTTTTTTTAAAACTGCCAAACTTTTCTGGGAAAAAAATCAGTTCTAGTTTATGTGACCAGTAGCAGGAAATTAAGTGTTTTTTAAAGATAAGGAAGATTAACTTCTACAAAAATCATGGTATTTATAAGAAGCCTACTGGACACCATTGAATTTATAATCCTATTAATCTACTACCTCTTTGAGGCCTTTGTTTTGAAGTTTTTTTGTATTAAAAAAAATGTTACTGGGCAAATAGTGCTTGTTACAGGATCAGCTAAAGGAATTGGAAGAGAAATTGCTTTAAGTTTTGCCCGGCTTGGTGCCATTCTTGTTCTCTGGGACATCAACGAAGATGACAACAAAGAGACAAGTGAGCTTGTTGAATCGAATGGAGCTCTAGCTGTTTATACCTACAAGTGTGATGTCAGTGACAGGGAAGAAATTTACAGAGTAGCAGAGCAGGTAAAGAAAAAATCTATCCATTTTTGTTTGTGATTCAAAAATGTCCTTTCTCACTATAATTGTTTAAAGCAGGAATGAACTTTTCAAACTGAATTGTGGGAATGACCTGACTACCTATTGCTTGGAATCAAAAAAATGAAGAAACACACATGCAACCAATTAACAAGCTAGGTAAAACAGAATGTTTCTGTTTAATCCATTTCAGGTTCTAGGCATAGGCCTGGTTCATTCAATCAGTACAGCTTGTCAGAGCTAAGCCATGAAGGGTTGTGGCAGGCAGCAGAAGTCACCCCGAATACTGAGATTGCAGCAGTGAGTTCCGTGGCTTCTCATCATGCCTGAACCTGCTGAGGGAGTGTTGTTGGGATGGTTAACACACAGCTGCAACTTTGCTTCCAACCCAATGTCCTATTTACTTAGAAGTACTTTCATCTGAAATCATGGAGACCTACTTTCACGTAATATACCCACTGAATACATGATGTAGGCCTTTCAGATCTTCAGAGACACAAAATTTCACAGTTCTGGAACAGATATAGAAATTGGTTTGAATTTAATTGTTTCCTATTACTGCTTCATTAGTTCAGGGAGTTGATTGCACAAAGATACAAGGGTGTGTTTTACTGGTTAGTGATAACAAACTACATAACAGCCTTATTAGAATATGGTTACATGGATGTTGTTCTCATTCATTTCCAGTTGAAATACTTCCATATAATGTCTGAAAGGTGCAACCTCATAACAGATGCGTGTTCCCAAACTGCAGTATCTCAAGGCAAAATGAACCAGAGGGTGACAGACATTTCAGGAAAGAACTGCAGAGAGGGACATTCTAATGACTTTGCCTCACCATCCTTACTTCTGGCCTTGTATGCAAGAGGATACAAGTAGTATAGAATAAATGCTTGAAACAAAGTTTACTCCTCTCCCTGTCTTAGTGCGATGAGGCAAATGTGTATTTGGGAACACTGTATTTGGCTCATAATAACAGGTAGTCCTTTGCTTAGTGCTGCTTCACAAAAGCATCCATCTGCCTAGCTTCTCTGCATCTTTCCATCACAGTCAAGGAGAAGTCTCAGTGTCAGTTCTTCTGTTCACAGATACAACTTAGTGGCAAGCAGACATTTGTTTGATTGTAGAATCGCTTTTTCTAGTTCCCACAATCATGAAATGGCTCCATAGGCTGTTTTCTGCATTGTTGACAGGTTCATATTGAGGTTTTTCTTCATAATTTTCACAGCCCTCCTGTTCTTTTCCTTTTTCCTATTCCTTTTTTTACAACAAAAGATGAAGAATTTTCAAGGGGGATATTGAACAGACATTGAGTGAGAATATATGGATAGGTATAACCTGCATTTGCACATCCCAATAAGCTGGATTCTGGCATATTGTGAATGACACAGTTGCTCCTGCCTCAAGCAAGAATGGCTGAGAAAACATCAGATATGTGACCTTATTAAATGTGATTGGAGAGTGAACATGGAGACACAGCTTCTCAATGATCCCTTGGAATCTCTGCTTATCCTTACAAGCCACAGAACTCTTCCTGGCAAAGTTTAGGAATGAAACACAAAATGTCATCTGTGTTTGAAACATGCCTAATACAGTGTGAGTGGGGAAGTTTATTCTGGTTCCTGACTCCCAGCAGAAAAGAGGAAAGGAAGTTGCCCAGCTGGTTTGGGAACTATTATATACAAACAAGCAAGCTTCTGGAAAGTGAGCAAACGGGAGCTAACAGGAATTTGGCAGCAGAGTTGTAGTGGAAGAGGAGATAAAACCAGAAGCAAAAAGGACTCTGTTGTTAACCTTCAGGGAAGACAGGAAAAAGCACGGGCTGTTACAGCAGGTTCAGAAAGGTAGAATTAAAAAGGCAAGAGTCTATGGATTGAAAAGTCTCCCCAATGGTGGTGGCCTGCTAGATCTGTGCAATGTTTGTTTACTTGCTTAACTACAAGTTGACCTAGGCAAAAAAAAAATGTAGGAAGAAAGAATATAAAGTATGTGGTCTTCAGTAGCTATATGCAAAATCCCAGAATATGGGACAAAACAGCATAAACTTGAACTCTTAATGCAGAAGGGCAAATACCTGATACCTAGCTTCTCTGCATCTTTCCATCACAGTCAAGGAGAAATCTCAGTGTCAGTTCTTCTGTTCGCCTTGGTAGGATGACTCCTATGACTGGAATTCTGCATTTGAAAGATATGACTTGTTCAAGAAAAACAGAAGAAACAGAAAGGAAGGTGGATTCACACTATATATTAAAGACACACACACACACACACACACACACAGAAGGATGAGCTTAGGAGCTCGATCTGCTTTAATTTAAAAAGACTGGGGAATAAAAGGAACATGGTGGTTGGTGCCTATTACTGACCACCCAGTCAAGAAGAAGACAAGAATGAAACAAGGTAGCACTCTACAAGTACTATCATAAAGGTAAAGTTTTAAGGTAAAGATAAATTTAAAGTTATTTCTATCATAATAACTTTAAAGGTTGTCACACAGAGGAAGGCCAGGATCACTTTTCAATCATCCCAGGGTTTAGGACACAGTATAACAGGCTCAAGTTACAGGAAGTCACATTCTGGCTGAACATGAGAAAGAAATACCTGACTGTTAGAGCAATACAACAATGGACCAAATTTTCTAGGGAGGTTGTGGGCTTACCCATACCAGAGGCCTTCAAGAGGCAGTTGGACAGTGATCTGTCAAAGATGCTTTAACTTGGAGTCCCCCTGCACTGAGCAAGGTGCTGGATCCAATGGACTTCTTGTCCCCTTCCAACTTTAGTCTATGATTCTACAATTAAGGCTTTACAAGTTGTGTGATTATGTCATGGTACCCATAGTGCACGTATCTCAACCTTTCCTTTTCATTGCAGGTTAAAAAAGAAGTTGGAAATGTAAATATTCTAATCAACAATGCAGGCATCCTTAATGGGAAGGATTTCCTTGATCTTCAGGATGCTGATATGGAAAAAACTATTGCAGTGAACACAGAGGCACATTTTTGGGTAATCATTTTCTTATTGTGGTTAACTATGAAAATACAGTGACTCCTTTTTAAAAAAATGTGCATGTTTTCAATTTATTAAACTATAAATTGTTATAAAATACAAACCTGGGAACTCTGGGTTTTAAGTAGGACGATAGTGCTAATTATAAAACTTCCTTTGCTGTTGTTCTTATTCTCTATTTCAGCTAGGCAGCCATTTGCGGCCATCAAACTGAGGAAGTTCCAAGGCAGAGGGAAAGAACCTAGAGCACCATCAGGGTATCTCATATCCTGGCAGCCCCAGCCTCCTCCCCTCCCTTCTACCATATGCCCCCTTTACTCCTTCTCCAAGCTTGTCTTCCCAACTCCAGAGAGGCAGCTGGCACAGTTCTTTCCACGCTGACTGTGAGGGAGGAGAGGAATCCCTGAATGTTTAGGGATGCTTGTTCGAAATCTTTAAAAAACCTTCAGTCATTGGCATCTCCATGTGACAGCAGGGGATTAAGCACTGTCTTTGACCTTGAATCTAGGAATTCAAATTATGCACTGTCTAGGGGCCATAGGATCACTCTCTGAGCATGTTGAAATCAATAGTGTCAGACACACCTCAGCTTCTTGGATGTTAGCCATTCAGTGGGGAAATCTAAAACATAGACTGATGTTATGGTTTTACACCGCTATGACAGAATTTGGACTGTAATTGCAAAACCTTGCCATTCATTGCACCAGTGAAGCGAATATGGAAAATACATAAAGTATGCCACCTTAATTATGATTTCCCACCTGTGTCACAGACCTGTAAAGCCTTTCTGCCAGCTATGATTGCCTGCAACGATGGACATTTGGTTTCGATTTCAAGTGGGGCAGCATTGGTTGGTGCTGTTAAACTCTCTGGTCAGTAAGCTATGTATCTGTCTTTTTTCCATGCAAATATTGACAACCAAAGCAGAGCTACCCAAACTTCTTTATTTGTGGAATTAGCTAGGAAGGGGAGATCAAACACAAGAAAAATGGGGATGGGAGGAGAATCCTGTTTAGTTGTGCATTAGGTTTTAATCTCACATACCTCCCTGGGACTACTTGCTCTTGAATCCAACCTCTCAATTAGTACTAATGGAATAGTATGTGATACAATACTTCCTAAACTGTAGCGCTTTTAGAGATGTTCTTTGTTAAAATGTGCTTCCCTGTAAAAGCAGAAAACAAGCAACAAGCTTTTGACACAGCAGAGCATTCAGATATCTCATTCCTGCATCTGAAATTTCTGGGAAAGAATGTTCTGAATGTTATTCCTCATTATTTGGGTTGGTTTTGACAAAATTGAAGCTGAACTGAACAACAGAATAAATTTGTGTTTGTCATATGATGTAGAACCCAAGAATCTAACAAGCAAGACATGAAGATATCACCATTGCTTTGTTTATTCTTCTCAGCATCTGGTATTCAGAAGCATACTGTTTCTGTACATTAAGATTTCCATTCTATTACTTCTCTGGGCCTTTTTTTAAAAATGTTGCGTAAGCCAGCCATCATCAGCACACATTATGGTGGCGATTTCTATAAGGATATAATGCATTGTTTGAATTGAAATAATGAAATTCTGCTGCTTCAGCATTCAATGAATCCTACCATAAGTGCATATTTGCTCACTGGGGCTTTCAAGACAGCTATAAAATGATAAGTTATCTGTTTTTAGTATTTTTCTCTGAATACAATTCATAAATAACAGTACATTTTGACATGTTTTGATCTTCTTCTCTCTGCCTTTCAGACTACACTGCACGTAAAGCTGCAGCATTTGGCTTTTTGGAGACTGTTTCATTTGAATTATGGGCTTCAGGGAAGAAAGGCATCAAAACCACCATTGTTTGTCCTGGCTTTGTGGATACACAACTAACTACTGGTTTAACAATCAAGTAGGATTTTGAATAGCATTCACAGACATTTACAATGAAATAAGCAAAATGCTTGGACTTATCTGGTGGGAATTAACTTCATTTTTAATATTGGACTCTGGTTTGAAACTTCTTAGTTTTAAAACAGGTTTGCCATGTGACATTGAAAGCAAGCCAAAATTCATGTGGGTGCATGAGACAAGAGGTCCTTTGCTAGAACTCTTCAAGGGAAATAATTCATTGTTTGAGTAATCAACTTTCTCTCTCTCTTTAGGAGACCACTTCTATTTCCTCATATGGATGTAGCATATACAGGCAAGTGGATTGTGGATGCTATTCTGAAAGAGAAATTTTATGCCTTCATGCCAGCATCGCAGCGATTCATTCCTCTAAAATTGTGAGAATTGCTTTTCTTCCACTCTGTGCCTGAATATTAATAGTTAAATTAAAACTTTTCCCAAATATTAAAATGCCCTTTGGCCATTTCAAAAATGCTTGGGCTTGTGAAGTGCCTGTGTGGTTCCAAGACCAGTAAATAAAGTAAAGACAGGAGTTATTTTTCCTAGCTGATAATTTCAAAATCAAGCAGTCTTGCCTGAAAGACAGAAAATTAAAATAGGCACAATGTATACTGTGCATGTCAGTAAAAAGCTTTATCTCTATTTATTATTTATTATTTATTTATTTAAAACATTTCTATGCCACCCCCATCGCAACAAAGCCTCAGGGCGGCTCACAAAGATCGTGTCATTTATGGTTGATACGATGCATTCCTAGATAAAATTTAGCATATGTTTGTGACTAGGAAACAGAAGAGGATTGTTGCAATCACAGGCAAGGAAAAGCAAACTGTTTACAGTAAGAAAAGCTGAAAGTTTAAAATAGAAAAGCAACTGGCTGTGCTACCTTCTCTTCTTAAAATGTATGTACTATGCCTAAGAAAATCACCTGTATTTCTCCAGCCCATGTTTAATCCATGGAAATAGTTTCCCTACATTTCCAGCCTAAGAATGGAGAATGAGGAGACATTTTTGAAGAATAATATTAACATTTTACATAGTTAACCAAGACTATTATATTGTTTTCTCCCCAGGTTTCTTCCCAGAAAAGCAGTTTGTCTCCTTGTTGATTATCTTGGACTCTTCAATGCCTTTGACCGGTACAGGGCTCCTGTTCAAAATGAGGAGAACACACATGATGAGCATAAACTAAGCCAATGATTTATTGTTTTATGCCTATTGCTTAAAAAGCTGATCCTTAATTGATAGCAGGTAATACTCTAATAAAAAATTACATTCAGACCAACTTTAATTACTAATGTATTCATTCATTCATTCATTCATTCATTGATATTTTCAGTACTTGAATACCACTCAATATCTGGGCAGATTCTTGAATGGTAAACTGTAAAAACCTAACACAGATAAAAGAAAAAAAAAATAAGAAGGGTTGGGAAAGGACAGCTACCAACAACAGCCAAGTTGCTGCATTTTGAGTGAGTTCCAGCTTCTGGACTAATCTTAATGGTTGTTGTTGCTAGCCACGAAGTCATGTCTGACCTATCGCGACCCCATGGACTACATTCCTCCAGGCCTTCCTGTCCTCCACCATCTCCCAGAATCCACTTAAGCTCACACCAACTGCTTCAGTGACTCCATCTATCCACCTCATTCTCTGCCATCCCCTTTTTCTTTTGCCATCTATTGTTCCCAGCATTTGGGTCTTCTCCAGTGAGTCCTTCCTTCTCATTAGGTGGCCAAAGTATTTGAGTTTCATCTTCAGTATCTGGCCTTCTAAAGAGCAGTCAGGGTTGTTCTCCTCTAAGACTGGTTTGATCACCTTGCAGTCCAAGGGACTCATGGGAGTCTTCTCCAGCACCACAATTCAAACATCTCAATTCTTCGGCGCTCTGCCTTCCTTATGGTCCAACTTTCACAGCCATACATTGCAACTGGGAAAACCATAGCCTTGACTATACGCACTTTTGTCAGCAGAGTGATGTCTCTGCTTTTTAGTATGCTGTCAAGATTTGTCATAGCTTTCCTCCCAAGGAGCAAGTGTCTTTTAATTTCTTGGCTGCAGTCCCTGTCTGCAGTGATCCTGGAGCCCAGGAAAATAAAATGTCACTACCTCCATTTCTTTCCCATCTACTTGCCAGGAAGTGATAAGGACCAGATCTTAGTTTTCTTAATGTTAAGTTTCAAGCTTCAACCTTAATGGTAGTCCCACGTATAGTACATTGCAATAATGCAGACTTGAGGTCTGCAGCATTGTAGCCATGCTCTCCCTGTCCTGGACAGGCTGCAGCTGGCAAACCAAATGAAGATGGTGAAAACTACTCCAAGTTGCTGCAATCACCTGGGATTCCAGCAACAGTAATTGATCAAACAGTACTTCCACATAGTCTTGCAACAAAGGAATGGAATCCATCCCTCTTCAGTTTGTAGTCCTCAGCCCTGTCTTAGAAAGAAGCCAAAAGGAAGTCTGCAAACACTCACAGAACTCAGACTAAAGAAACAGCAGCCTTCTTCCATGTTCCATGTGCAACACAAAGATGAAAAATCATGTGCATGGAACAGGGGGACTGTTTGCACATTGCTCTGGCAGGACTGGATTCCTGGTGAGCACTGCATGAATGCTCGGCATGCTCAACAGGAAGTTGAAGAACACAGCTCCTCCATCTCCAAAAAAAGAAAAAAAAACATTCCTCACACATCTCTTCCTTCCAACTATGAACTTCCCTTCAAAGGGAGTGAAACCCCAGCCAGAACAAACAACAAGCCTAACTCTGTACTGGTGGCACTTGGCTCCAAACTCCTACTGATGGCCACTAGATGAAGCCCCAGAACAGCCCAGATTCTGACACTGTATGAAGATTGATATATGCAAACCCTGGCATGGTGGCTAAGTTATCCAGATGCCACAACCTGAAGAATATTTCCAGGTGGTTTGTTACCCGTAGGAACAAGCCATGCTGCCCAAGTTAGTGTATCATGCTAAGCCATGCTAACTACCCACCACAGCTTGAATATTCACAATGGCTGTCTGCACAATCATGTCAATGAGCTCAAGGGCCACTGACTTCAGTGGATCATCTCTGCTGACCCAGAATATGCCCCAAAAGTTGCACCAGTCTTAAACTGGAATGATGGAACAGGACATTAGGGCACAGTTCAGGAGCAGTAAACTTAACTGTGAAAGACAATCCATTCAAATGGTTTGCATTTCTTTCTAGGCATAGGCCAAATCAGTGGGCATCACATTAGGGAAAAAGCTGGCAGCACTTTAGTTGCTTGTAATAAAGTTTCTTTGTCACTGGTCTTAATGTAAACACTACAACCAATGGTCTCAGCCATCCAGTAATTGGGGGGGGGGGGCATTGATCTGGGATCCTCAGGAGTAGGGGAATGAAACAAATAATGGATAAGATCTGCACAAGTACAAAAGGGAAATTTGCAAAGAGGTTTGTTGTAATGTTTCCAACTAAGAATATGGCTCATATTAATTTGTGCTGAATTAGAAGAAAAGGTTTTCTCTAATAAAATGTACAAATTTCAACAAAACAAGCCTTACATGCATATTTATATTTACATTTTGTGGTCAGTCTAAGATGAGTAATAAGAAACAACTCATACTGAGTAAAACAGTTGTATAATCTGGATTTAATTCTTTCTTTCATTGCAATATCTAGGCTGATTTCCAGAAATACGTCAGGAAACTTGTAGACATACATCATTTGGTCACCTTTCTTTACCCACAGAATCTGATTAGGGGGATTTAAATGAAGAGACCATTTGACTGGAACTTTGTTTGACCTTCATTGATATATTACTTTGCCAATCAGCAGGAACCATTACAGGAACATTCACCAACAGAAACACAGCACACACAGAGCTCACAAAGATACTGCATATTCTTGGCTTTAGGATCAAGGGATTTATTGCTTCTCTATTGTCAGAGGGAATTGAGAATGTTTCAGATAACTAAAGAAAAGCAATTTTATAAAAGACCTCAGCTGCTGGAATTTCAGATTACTCCACTCCTTGCCCTGTATCGCTGACATGTATTAATGTTAGAAATGGGCAAAGTCTGGAAACCAGAGGATCAGGCTATGTAGGTTAAACACAGTCTAACCTATGCTGGCAAGGAGACAGACAGAGAAGCTTGAAAGGGTACTTGCTCTTGTGGAAACAAGTGCTTGTCTCTGGAGGTGAACTGATGGCATAGGGTAAAGAAGCAGATGGTCTGTTTGGGAATGGGTTTCATTCTAGAGGGGAAAAGCATGAACTGGTAATGGGTCAAACAGAAATACTTCTATAATAGGCATGCTTGAATGATACTATATAGCCACCCTGCATTTAAAGTTGCCTAGAGGCTCCTGGCTACTAGCCAATCATCATTGGCTACTAGCCTTGCTGGCTAAGGACTACCTCTGTTATTAGAGGTGGCATGTCTACCCACCCCAGTTGCTGAAGAGCTTGGGTAGGCAAAACTACTGAACCCATCCAGCTTGAGGGATCCTGTGGGCAGCTACTTTGTCATATTGTGAACAGAGCACCGTACTGGATGGAACATTGGTATGATCCAGCATGGTCCTGAGGCATCTCCTTCCGTCCTTCCTTTTTACTATTCCTACAAGAATCCCAGAGGACACTGCAGAAGCATATTAAGGAACCCAGGATGACAGCTACTGAAAGTGGACACTTTGGCAGCTTTATCTACATCCTCACCCCATGCTCTGTTGATGCCAAAGAGTGGGGTTGCTCATGAGCAGGTCCTGAGAGGTCCAGGTCTGACAGGGACACACTCCCCATGTCCCTCTCCCTGCACAGATCATCATACAGGGTGACCAAGGCAGTTTCAGTTCCATAGCCAGGTCTGAAGCCAGAATGAAATGAGTCTAGATGGTCCATTTCCTCCAAGAGGACCTGGAGTTGTCCAGCCATCATCCACTCGAGCACCTTGCCCAAAAATGGGATATTAGTCATCAACCTATTGTTGGTAGTTATCTCTGGGTCCAAGGTGGCTCTCTTCAGGATGAACCTGATCACCACCTCCTTCAAAGGGGCAGGGACCCAACCCTCCCTCAGAGAGGCATTGATAACTTCCTGGATCCAGGTGCATATCTTTGGCTCTGATGAGCGGTCACGAGGGGCAAGGGTCGAACAGACAAGTGGTGGGTCAGACTAGTCCAAGCACCTTGTCCACATCTTCAGGCTGCAACAATTGAAACGCATCTGCAACAACTGAAACTCAATTGTTCTACTACTGAAACGTCTACTGCAACTGAAAGGTTTACCTGGAAGTACTGCAATGAGCAGGGGCTTGAACCTGATACCTTCTGGCCCCTTCCAACTCTACTACTCTATGATTCTACCCTCTTCAGCTGCTGGATGAACTACCTACTTATTTGGACAAGGACAGGCTGGTTTCATTAATCTGTGCTCTGTTAATCGTCAACTTAGTAACTGCAATGCACTTTATGTAGGACTGTCCTTCAAGACTTTTCAGAAGCTGCTAATAACCCAAATCAGAAAGTCTGAACATGTAAGTCCCTGGCCTGGACATTCTGCAACCCTGAGACTGGCTAGGAACCTTTGGGAGTATTGTGGGAGTAGACTGCTTGCACTGCTCCTGCAAGCTGCCCCTGCACCCTTCCAGCAGTCCTCACCTGACTCAGCTATCACTGGCAATCCGGCAGTTTTCTCTGACATATACACATATATACCTCCAACAGCAGGAGGTGTATATATACATATACACCTCCTGCTGTTGGAGGTTGGACTACCCACAAGGAGGGTATGCCGCTTTGAGATTTAAGAGGGTGTGGGTTCCTTTATTTTTCCCTCACCTGCCCCTTGGTCTGCATCTGCTAATATGGGTGAAGGTTTTTAGGGTTATTCAGGCTCTAGTTAAGTTTTTTAGAATTATCTGGGGCCTATGACATGCTGGCTCCAAGGATACTTTAGGCCCACCTGAGGCCGACTGTAATATATTTCTTGTGTAATTCTTGTATAATTTCAGGAAATAAAAACCTCTTGCATCTGCTGGGCTTCAGAGGTAGCCACAAAACAGCCACATCGGGTCCCCACTTTCTTGACATAAGCCAAGTACAATTTCTTCATAATGGGATTTCCCTGTGTGACCTCCATAGGATTGGAGTGCTTACTATCTAGTCCCTATACCACACGGCAGCTCAGAGTCCTATTCCTGAGGATAATGCAAGTTGATTATGCTATATTATAGTGTGGCCCTTAATATGTTGCAGTAGTTCTGTTTTCCAAATGTTACACAGAGGTTCCTGCATTTCTGTAGCTATCTGTGAAGCAGCCCTCAAACACTAATTCCAACAGTAGCTAATAGCCAACATGTGCTTCATCAGTTAAATGTAATGGAAAGTGAGCCCTTCCTCAGTCATGGAATTATACAGGACTTCAAGCACTGTTGTCTTCCACTCATAAATCCTCCCATACTTCCCCACTTCTTCCATTTTTTTTAACCTTAGTACAGAAAAGACTTTATGGGAAACAGAATGATGGAATTTCTGGGTAGTGCCTTTGGATGAAAACTGGGTTATCCTATAGTGCTTGGAGCTAAAGCACATCTATTTCCTTCATGTGTTTGTGAATCCAGGTGAGCAATTATATTGGGCAATAGATATGCAGAAAGATCTGTAATATGGCTCATGATGGAAAAGAAGCAGCCAAATGAAGAGATGGTTGCTTCCTGTTTACAATGGTAATTGTCATGCTTTCATTATCTACAAAGCTTGAATGTATGAAAAGGTTGATATCATCAAACTGTACTGCCTATTCAAAAGAGATGCCAGCATTACATCTTTGCATCCAGCAATCTGATCCTAGCAGTCAGTGCCAGCTCGAAAACATTTTTCTATATGGAGGAAAGCACAGATGGCACTTCCCCTCTCCCCTCATATGCACACTCACTCATTGACTAAAGCCAACACTTCAAAAAGTCTTGTAATACCAACTTCTGCCTTCATCTATCTCCTATTATTCTTGGTGCTTAGGGATCATGCCACAGGGACAGCACTGGCTTTCTCTAGATGAGGTGTTTCTCCCACAGCTTTACTTAGGCTTCATCCATTTTCATTGCAGAAGGAAGAGTGCATTCCTTTAACATGGTTTTGGGTACTTTGGTTTGGAAGGGTAATTTCTCTGATTCCTTGTGTTTGATTGTACAATGAGGCAAAGTGGCTGTATAGCACTACCTAACACTACAATATGGCACTTTCCTTTTAAAATTACTTGCAAAAATGGCTGGAAAGCACAGGAGATCCTGGATGTCATGAAAAGGAATTGCAAACTTCTGTGAGGAAGGGACCATGAGTGCACAATGCCTGCCTTGTGCAGGGATGCTCTTAATCTGACTTCTGTCTATCCTCTGGGCAAAGCTTCACCTCTCCAATGGATGTAAAGTTATTTATCTATGATTGTTTCCTCCTGCCTTTACTTTCTTCCAAGCTGTGGGACAGCTAGGTAATTTTAGGCTCTCAATTTATCAGTCTTATGGGGGTGGGGGGGGCTGCACAAGGTCATGTGCTTCAGTTATGAGGCACACTAGTGGTTCCCCACCAACCACATCATCCCATACTTTACAGCTACCTAAACATCCCTGATATATTAGAACCAGAAAACTTGTTGCCAAGCTTGGCTCAAAAAAACCCCCAAACCCATCATTTGCAGCCAGCCTCACATTAACACATTTAAAACAGAGGATCATCATGGCTATAGCATTATAATAGGCTTAGCTTCTGCTGTCCCAATACCTAATTACCTTCTGCAATCTGGCTGTTTTTTTGTTTTTCTTCCCAGGACAACTGGGGTGTGAAACCCTGGAGTTTGGTTCAAAGGTACAGGGCAGTTTTCTCACCACCAAGCACAAATGAAAGTGCCAGATGTGTCTTACACAAACACCTGCCTTTCTCCACTCATACTGTCTCCCAGGGTTACACAACCCAGCACGCCCAGTTCTCTCAGCTGCACTGAAAGGAGAAAGAAGAGTCGACTTGCTACCCGGAGAGCAAACTGTGGGCCAGAGGTAAGCTGGAGCAGAATTTCTTCTTGTGTGTTATGTGCCATCAACTTATGGCGACCCTATGAATGAAAGCCCTCCAAATAGCTTCTTTTATGGATTAAATCTATCTCATATTGATCTTCCCTTTTATCTTCTGCCTTCAGCTTTCCCTAACATGATTTTCTTCTCCAGTGAGTCTTGCCTTCTCATGATATGTCTTAAGTATGAAACTTCAGTTTTGTCATTTTTGCATCTAGGGAACACTCTGAATTGATATGATCTAGGGTCCACTTGTTTGTCTTTCTGTCAGTGTAAGATATTTACAAAGCTCTTCTCTAGCATCATGTGTCAAATACAGTAATGTTCTTCTTGTTGGCTTTCTTTGCTGTTCAGCTTTCATACTCATACACTGTGATTGGAAATACAACAGGATTTTAAACTTGGTTTCTATTGAAATGTCATTACATTTGATCATCTTTTTCTAGTTCCTTCACTGCTCCCCTTCCAAGTCTCAATCTTCTTCAAGTTTCTTGGCTGCACTCTCCCTTTGAACTAATGACTGAGCCAAGGTACGTGAAATCTTTCACAGTTCTGATTCCTTCAGTATGAACAGTAAAGTTCTTTAATTCTTCTGTGGCCATTTTTTCCCCTTATATTCCGCTGCAGTCCTGCTTTTGTACTTTGTACTTTCACTTTTATCAGGAGTCGTTTCCGGTCATTGGTCGTTCTGCAGGAGTACGGTATCATCTTCATATCTTCAATTAGTGATATTCCTCTTTACAAATAATCACAAAGAGTCAAATGAAGGGCCGGCAGACCAGACGAGTTCCCCCTTCCAAGCGCATTTAGGCGAGTCACGGGCCTGCCAGAACGCGAAGAGCATCCATCGCCTCCCTTGGCCTTTGGGCGCAGGGAGGGATCCGCAGCCTGAACTTCCGAAGCCACGCCGCCAGTCGGCCCAGCCGCACAGCCCCCGCTGGCAGCTGGCGGGGCGACTCCGGGAAGCAGCGGCGCCCGTTTGTTCCCTCTCTCTCTCCGTCTGCGCCCCCCTCCCCCTCCCCGCCCCCGCCCCACGTGAGGCACTTCGCCAGCGCAGCAGTAGCGCGACTTCCTGGACCCAGTCTTGGCGCGCGCGCACGGCCGCGACGAGCGCGTCCCTCCTATATCCGCAGCCGGGCTCAGTCGAAGCGTTTAGCGTGCTTCGTCGTCCGGGCGAGGTTAGCTTCGCAGCTGTCGCGGCTTCCCGAGCGGGAGGAGAAGGGAGGGGCGGCCTGGGCGCAGCGGGGAGCGAGCCTGGAGGGCGGTCAGGTGTAGGCGCAGCAGACGACGCCGAGATCGCGCTCAGAGATGAGGCTCTCCTCCAAAGCAGCGGATGTGAGCTGCTGGCTCCTCCAAAGAGGCGGCTGGGCACGGCTGCCCTTTGCCTCACTTGCGAGCGCTAACTTGGAGAGGAGCCCCCGGCCGGATGACCCGCTCTAGGAGGAATCGTTTCCTCCTTGCCGAGAGTTGTTCTGGCAGCACACCTTGGGAATCGCAAAACGAAGCAGCTAGGAAAGGCCCTTCGCTTTCGAAGGGGCTGGGTTGTTGGCCGTGCAAACACTCTTAGGCGGAAAGTGGAAACCTAGCTGAAATCAACCGGGCTAGTTTTTCAGTGCAAGAATTCCAGGGGTTATGCTGGACGTCACGTCCGACTGAGCTGCACTTCGAGCATCGCGGGTGCCCTTCTTGTTCTACAAAATTGGGACTTTGCCTGTCTTTGCGAAAGATTCAACCTTTCGAAATCGACACAGTACCAGTGTTGTACCAGTGTTGTGAACCGCCCAGAGAGCTTTGGCTGTTGGGCACTATAAATATGTAGTAAATGAATTAATACTAGGCCTAAGATATAGAGGCAAGAAACACTTTGTGCAAAGTATTGTTATTATTATGCTGTATTTATAGCCCACTCTTTTTTTAATTGGGGGTGAACTAAACTATCTGCTAACATGACAGGAATCCACTGAAAGATAAACACTTTTCAGCTGTGTTTATATATGCTCACGCTTAAATCTTGACGGCTTTAAGGATGCAATCCTATACATGTTTAAGCAGAAAGAAATCTTACAATGCTTAGAATGCCCTGAGCATGGAGGATGCTGAGTTTTGTTTTTTTTTTCTTTCTTTTCTATCTCTACTATTCTTTCTTAAATATAGAAGAATACAGCTAAAATAAGCAGAGGAAACTCACCAGTCAGTGAGTTTTACTTGTCCGTAAACATTTGTAGGATTATGTTGTAAAAGTGTTTAACTTTGAATGTGTCATGCTCTTGCTTAATCAAACATTTGTCTAGACCAGGGGTGGCCAGTCTTGCTCAGTGGAAGAGCCACATACGGTAAATATCAGGCGGCAAGTGGGCCCCGGCGGGTGCAACTACGAGATTTGACAGCAGAATAGGGATATTTGTAGCCTCTTCCATTTCTATAGTAATTATTTGGAAAACCACTGACTATCTGATGACAGTTTATCTTAAAGAGGATACTAAGTTACCTGGAAGAGTTATCTGAAATCTGTGTAAAAAGAAACAGTCTGTTTTTTTCAACTTCTGGCATTCCTTGAGAAATAATAAAACATGTTCAATGCTGTGCAACAGTGAAGGAAAAACTGCGAGACTGACATTGCACTCATATGGAAAAAGCTTGGAAATTATCCAAAACAACAATAATAGAAGTTCAGCTAGAATCTATACCAGAGGTTAGAAAAGGTACCACCAAGTCAAAGAGGTCACCAGTGTGGTTAACAAGCGGTGTCAAGTGATGTCAAGGAAACTGTTAGCAAAACAAAGGCTTCTTTGAGGAAAAAATAAATGGAAATCTTTCCCAGATGAAGAAAACAAATAGAAGCAAGAGCTTGCACGAAGATGATGCAAATAGTCATCAAAAGATGAAGAAAAGTCATCTTGAGAAATGTAGCACTAACAACATCAGGGCCAACATAAAGAGTTCTTTAAATATTTGGGAAGCAGGAAATGAGCTAAAGAGAAAGTTGGAACATTGGATGGAAAAGCAGAGGTAAGGGTGAAGTGTAGGAGAAGGAAAGTACAGAGAAGCCAAATGAATGTTTGGGGGTTTTTTGGGATTTTTTTTTGGCCTGTCTGTGGCCCATATACATCCTTATTTGGACAGGGATAACATACTTTCAGTAACCTATGCTCTGATAATCTCTAGATTACTGCAGTGTTCTCTGGGTGGGACTACCTTTGATGTCTGGAAAATGCAGCAGACAGGTAAATAACTGGGACTGGACTATTTGAATGTGTAAGACCAATTCTGGCCCACTTACACTGGATGCCTGTATGCTTCCACGTTTTAACTTATAAAGGCAGGCATGGAGGGTGGAAAAAGGAAAAGGCCTTCTCAGTGGCACTCTCCTCACTGATGGGGAATAGTGAAACCTACTGGCACCAGCTTTGTCATTATTTGGCACCAGGTTAAGAGAATCCTCTATGGCAAGGCATGTAAATGCATTATTTATGTCTTGATAGGGACATCTGGGTAATTTAATAAGATTATTCTGCATACAATATTGTTTTAGCTGTCAAATTTTGTATTTTGAAAAAGTCAGGTTGTTTTATTGCATATTGGTCCTGTTGGAGTCTGTCCTGGTCCTGCCCAGGGAGTTTTAGCTATTAGGTGGCATAGAAATTAAATAAAGCAATGCTTTCAGAAGGTAGATTATTAACCCATGGATTATCATTCCTCTGGAATTTGTACTATGTTGCAGGCTGTTTCCAGGAACAATTAAGACTACACGTGATGCTTAAGGTGTGAATGCAGTTAGCATTACCATTTTATATTAAACGAGTGGAGAGGAAGACTGAGAAATCTATATTGTTTGTGAGGCAGGGCATGTTCATCATTACATCTAATAAATCTTCAGTGTGCTTTTTTTTTTTTTTTTTTTTTTTTGCTACAAATCTTTATACTGTCTATAAACATTCTGGTCCCAAGGTATCTTGGTCTCTCCTTGCTGCTGTATAAAGCTGCCTGTCATTTAAGACCTGAATCTTCTTCTGGTGCTCTTGTCTATTGAGCTCCTTCCCTAGACATTTGCCATGCTGCTTCTTTACCATCTTTTAGATGCTGAGTTAAGTCTGTCCCTCTTGCTTTTAATAGCAATTCCATGGATTAGTTATAATATTGTTTGAGCAGCCATTTTAGGTATTCCCTACAACAATGAGAAAATATATCAACTATATTAAAGATATGTTCTGTTTCCTATGATAGTTTATCAGATTATCTGTTTGTGCTGCAACTCTTTTTGACTTATATACAAAAAAATGGGAAAGGAGGAACTCACCCAAGCTGAACCACCTATTCTGCGGCAGTTCCTTGTAATGGCTATCCAGCTCTAAATCATCTGTGTTCATAATTTATATGTAGGCTTGCCACCTCTCTTCTCTCAGAGTGCTAGTGCCTTTAAAAGTGGCATATTTGTGCTGGAGAAAGTCTTGGTAGTTTACATTCCTACCTGATTTTTTTTACCAGCGTTGGCTATTTCATCTTTGCCCATTTTGTTCCTGCTTGTTTGAACCTATGTGCACATTCTCCCTTATTCCTTCTGCTCCCTGTCTTCTTTTCCCAGGCCTTCTTTTCTACCTACTGTTCCCCACAGACTTGTCTTTCAGGCAGCTTCTGTCAGCCACCCTCCTTTGGCTGCCCCATTCCTTAAATTCCCATTCTCCAGGAACCACAGCCTTTCTTGCCACTGCCTCTAGAGCAAAGATGATAATTTGGTTCATTCTAATGTGATTACTCAGTCCTTTAAGAGATTTCTTGTAAGGATTTCATGCTGCTGCTTCCATTCCCTCAGAAATGTGTGTCTAAAAGCATCCTAAGACTTATATCATCTCAACCAACAGGAGTCAGTGGTTTATCACTGCTGACTCCCAAATTCTGAACACATTACAGTACAGATGCCACTATTATATGCAGTGCTTATCAGTGCTTATCCTATGCACACACACACTCTCTTGGTAGAAGCCACTACTACTGAGTACTAGGGTTGCCCAAACATGGGGGGACTCCAGTACTCCTATGTTGTTGGAAGTGATCCAGAGTTTAGGCAATGGCTATGTCACTTTCTGAGAAACATGGTGTTATGTGGGATCATTTTGAGGTTGCTGCAGGCTTCCAGCCATGCCACATGCCTGCACCACTGGAAGGCTCTGAAGCGACATAGGTGTAGGAATTGGGTCTGCTTCTCCCAAAGCATAGCATTCCACAGTGGATACTGAACTGGAAGATGAGGCAAAGTCAGAATTCTTACCTGAATTTCCAAGGCCAGTGAGCTTTGAGATAAGCCATCTCTGGTTTAAAGGGAGACACTGTAGAACACAGAGCCAGAGAAGGAAGAATAATCTGTCCTGTCATCCAATGCCAGATCAAGAGTTATAACTTATTAAATAATGTCCACATTTCTGCCATCTAGCCCACAAGCAGTGGGAACTTCCCAAGGGGTAAAACTAATAGCCTCACCAGCATTTCCAGGCCAAAAGTCTTTCTTTTGCATGCAAGTCTCTGAGCATACCCAACATGAAATGTTGAATCCTCGCTAACATTCTTCACCCAAAACTTTCCTTATGAACCCTTCTACATCTGTCCCTTGGGGAAAGAGCACTGTAGAACTGGGTATGTCTGCACTTTATCCTCAGAGACCTCACATGAGCCATCCTGTGATGACAGACTATCAGGTCAGCCTTCTCGGGAGGCAGGAGTTTCCCATCCAGTAGACTCCCAATCATGAGATGTTCTTCCACATTCCCATGGGTGGGTTGACTGGTCCCCTTGGCTGCCCTTGAACTAATCTCCCTCATAGCATGCACAGGCCTTGAGCTGCAGCCAAGGCTGGCACCATTTAAACAATTATCTCCCTGGCAGAGCCTGAGTAGCCAGTCTTGCCAGGATAGACAGCCTCCTCTACACACATCTCATCCTTGAATTCTAAACTGTCAGTCCCACCAAAAAGGGTATCCTTTCATGTGCAGCCCTGAGGTTTGCCAGGACATGTGTGCACAACACAATGGTGGGAAGAAAATATTGAAGGCAGTACAGGATGCTTGGTTTGTGATCATCACAAATTCCACCTCATCAGAAGGGCCACTGATGCATTGAACCCAAACTGTTGGTTTTTTAAAATCTTAATGCCTACCCAACCAAGTTCTGGCCAAAAATAGAGTCATAGAATACTAGAGTTTGAAGGGGCCATGAAGGCCATCAAGTCCAACTCCTTATTGTTCCAGGACATCCATTTACATCATCCCACTCAAATGGCTGTCCAGTTTCTTTATGAATGCCTCTAGTGTGGGAGAGCCCACCATCTCTCTAGGCAGCTGGTTCCATTGTCATATAGCTCTGACAGTGAGGAAGCTTTTCCTGATATCTAGCCTGAATCTGGGTTGTCGCAGCTTGAATTGATTATTCGGTGTCCTACACTCTGGTATCAGTGAGAAGAGATCTTGACCTTCCTCAGTGTGACATCCTTTGAGATACTTAGAGGAGTATCATGTACCCCTCAGTCTTCTCTTCTCAAGGCTGAACATGCCCAGTTCTTTCTCCTCATAAGGAAATGTTTCCAAACCTGGAATCATTATTGTTGCTCTCCTCTGGACTCCTCTAATTTTTCTGCATCATTTTCTGCAAGTTGTATGAATAGCTTCTTTAGTAAGACTTGGCAAAAATGTAATTTGGTTTTTGAAGTCAAATTAACTTCTTGTATAATAATTAGAACTAGTTGTAGTGAGGTGTGATAGATTCAGCTGACTGTTTTCATCATGCCAGCTGTTTAAATTATCACAACATTGCAATTGCAATCATGCAGGCAACTGGGGGTTAATAGATTTTTCCAGAATCCACATTTTCAGTTGGTTGTGAAGATGATCTGAAGTGTACTTTACCAGGGAGCCAGTTCCTGCTTATAATCAGGGTTTACATGCATTTGTCGTGGCATAAATGCAACTGACAGCCAATCCTGAGAACAATGGTATTGGTTTCTTTTAGTTCTTGGTGTTTTTGGTGACAAGAATTTCATATTCATATGAATTATGAATAATTATGGAAGACAAAATGTAATTATGAAAATCTAGCCTTGGTGAGAATGTAAAATGCTGTTCCGTTCCAAATTGTGGTATTCATTGAATTTTGTTAGAGGATCTCCACTTGCACTTTCTTTTTCCTAACCCTAAAACATCCCTGCAATTTCAGATCTGTTGTAAACCCCTCAAGCGAATTTGAAAGGTGCCCTGCAGTGGGGAATCCATTTCAGTGATGGACAGATATTGTTAATGTCAACCTGATATATTCTCATAAATAATATAAATAAATATGAAGATACGAGAGAGAGAGAGAGAGAGAGAGAGAGAGAGAGAGAGAGAGAGAGAGAGAGAGAGAGGGAGGGGGGGAGGGAGGGAGGTGGAGCTGGAACACCACATAACAGTTGAAATCTCATCATGGTTGAAGAATTCCTGGAACATGGAGGAAGACCTGGGTGTTGGGGGGGCGCAATCATGTGTGTGTTTAAATTGAAAAAAGTTCTTACATGGCTGTCTGGGAAACTCTTGAGAGCTTTAAGACTTCTTTATCTCTAGCATGCATAGGATTGCATCCTTACAAGTCTTACAATCATCTCCCCCCTCCTCCCAGCATTGTTGGGATACATTTCAACAATGTATGGCTCATTAGAACTTGAAATATATAGTTGGCAGTTGGCTCTAACTCATCTTTGTAATTATTCAACAGCTAGTTGGGAAAAAATCTCCAGGATGAACTTCTTCCTAGAAACACTGAGATTAATTGGGCTGTCTATATATTATACACTGGAGTCTATCTTTTTATTATTTATTCCTGTGCGGAAGAAGAATGTTTCTGGTGAAATAGTGCTTATAACTGGAGCGGGAAATGGAATTGGAAGACTTTTGGCTTTAAAATTTGCTCGTCTTGGAGCCACTCTAGTTCTCTGGGATCTTAACCTGGAAGGAAACAAAGAGACAGCCAGACTAGCAAAAAAAATGGGAGCTGTAAGAGTACATGACTACATCTGTGACTGCAGCAAGAGGCAAGAGATCTATCGAGTGGCAGATCAGGTAATTATATCTGACAGATGGACTTTGCACTGTATATAATATTTTACTGTGCTCTCTGAACCTGGCTTCCACTTCCTGGGATATGCTTTATAAACTTCCTGAATGAACCATTGTTTGTAGTGGGCTTTAGTACCTGCCTGTGGCTTAACATGGTCTCCAAATCTAAATGACACACAAAGCAATGTTGAAGCCGAAACACTAGAGAGCAGCAAAAGGGGCTCCAGCTGATGACAGTCAACAAAGTGCCCATGTAGCACTTCGTGCAGTTGTCATTGGTTTTCTCCTGCAATCCTGCCAATGCTGTGAGGAAGCTACCCAGATATGCAGTGTGCCACCTGCTGGGGTCTGGGAAGCCTCACAAGTGTGCCCATGCAACATCATGAGCTCACCTACAACCATGAGCTGCTCTGCTTCATTTTCTAGACCGGAAGGCTGGGCAAGGAGGGACATGATCCACCTGTGCCAGCCAGTGCAAGGCGGCTCAAGCCCACACCCTAGTGCCTTAGGGATGTGTTAGGAATCCACTGGGCAGAAAATCCACTGGATTCCCTTGTTTTGGCATCCCAAGTAAGTTCTACAAAAAGAAGGCAATCTTAACAATGATTGCCTTAAATCATTATTTTCTAAGGCTTCGTGGGGATGCAGAATCTTACTTCATTACTAACCATCCATGTACCATATAAGTAATTTGATCACTGGTAAGCAGTGGCAAAGCTGTTTTGGTTTAAATATTACATGATACTGAGAGTAAATGCAGGCAAGCAGAGGGGAAATTGTGCGTGTGCAGATGCTTTGCAGCAGCCCATACTCCAAGTTCTTGGTGAGTGCACCCATGGGCCACTTGCCAGAAATTGAGTTCCATGCATTGCGGAAGCAGCACAATGATTGGCCACTGGGAATGGCAGCTGGCATGCCAGCTTGCTGCATCCCTTTTCCACAGCTGTGGCTACCAGGAACTGTGGCCAGTATACTTGCTCCCTGCACCCTGCACACTGCCACTGGCAGCAGTGAGTTAGGAGGGAGGGAGCCCACTAGAAAAGATAGCTGGAGAAGGATTCCACTTGTGCAGCAAGGGGTCTACAATCACTCACGGGCAAGCACTGGAAGAAATATGGCCACCAGCAGCAACCTGGGTTCAAGAGAGGCACCTCCTCCTCCTCCCCACTGCTAACTGCCTTGTGCCACCTTCCTAAGCCCCACCGGGAATTTAAGATGGGGTGTGTGGCAGGCATTGGTTCACACACCTGTGCAAGCGGGCATGTCACTTTCTGAAGCCAGGTCAACCAGAGGAATGTGACTTTAGGCTGGGGTGGTGTGTTCAGCCAGGCGTCAACTCAGGATCAGTTGAACACACTCCCACCACAGCTGTGATTATGGGGTGATCACAGCTGTGCACAGTGCAGTGCAGTGCATCTGGGATACCTACTCTGAAGGAGACCTACCAAACATGCCCCTTCTTCAACTTGCAGGCATGACACTGAAATGTGTGTGCCTGTACACAGCCAGTGCATTTGTCTGGCTTTAAAGGGGAACAGGCCCAATGAATAGGTCACATTTGCTTGCCTTTTGGGGCACAGAGAGCAGTGGACAAACTAGAGAGAGGTAATGTGGTGACACATGGAGAAGTAGGTGTCCATCCCATCCCCGCCCCCCATCTCCCCAGCAAGCAGATTGTCAAGAAAGGGACAGTGGGAATGCAGCAGAGCTGAAGCATGGTGGTTTTACTGTTCTGTGCTTTGTCTGTTACTCTGGATTCCTGCTAAATTTTATCATACACTGGAACTTATTCTAACATGCTATGCTTGTTCTAGGTGAAAAAGGAAGTTGGTGATGTGAGCATCCTGATTAACAATGCTGGCATTGTAACAGGAAACATGTTCTTGGAATGTCCAGATTCGCTGATAGAGAAAACCATGGAAGTGAACGCAATGGCACACTTTTGGGTAACAAATTTGCGAGTAACTGTAAAAATGCATTTGGACTTGCATTGTGTTAAAATCAGTAAATACCAATTTTATAATGTGTCTGATAGTAGGGTTGATAGAGTCTATGGTATGGCCAAGTTCTTGACTGAATTAAGGTTGGGTAGTCCAACAGCTTTAGCCTTGGATTAACAAGTGGCCAGGTGAAACACTTTTCTAAAGAAAATAACTCAAAGGTGAAATCCCTACAGAGGACTAGAGAATAGCCAGCATAACATCAACTTGGGATCCAGGGGCTATGAGGAACTAAATACCTCTCAGACTAACTTCTTTCCTAGACAAATTAATATGAAGCATTATTTTATTTTTACAATATTTTTATTATGAAATTACAACAACAGGTAAAAGAGGAATACATTTGAAATGTGTATATATTTGAAAATGCAGCTTCCTTGCAATTATATATAAGCTGCAGCAAAGTAGACCAGATAGCCAATAAGTATCTATTTGAAGGTGGCATCAATGCAACACCAACTGAAATACTGAAAGTGTTGTGAGATGAACTAATCTTCCAGTGCTAAGTATCAGTTTTTCAACTGCCAGAATGGTATAGACTACCAATTTATGTGGTCTTTTCATTAATTTGCAAGAATCAGATAATTTATAAGATTATTCACATCAGCAAATATTAAAGACAGTTCTAGTACAAACTGTATCCAAATAATAACATCCTTCTCAAATGAAGCAACTACTGGACATTGCCAAAACATGTTTAAAGAAACATTAGCTGCATTTCTCCACTAGCATTTAGCCATTTTAGACAAGGTTATATTAAAAAGAACTTTTGCAGCATCCAGAAACAAAAATGGTTTTGCTGAATAAGTTGCCAATTGTGGGTGGTGCAAAATTCAAGATTTGTGGCATGAAACTAGCACAAAGCTTTGGCATAGGTTCAGAGAAAGGAGAATATGGATTTTCTGCCTTTTCCGAGCCCAGCAAAGGTAACTTCTCATTTTTACACTTTTGCCATGAATAGCAAATGAAATTCAGTGTAAGTAAGCACAAAATGTACTTGAGGATTTACAGACCCTGCTATGGCATACAGTTCTGCCCTCTTCTTCAGGATCTCAGGTGAATGAGGCCATGGCTCCGGCAGGCTTTAGAACATGTGGAAGACTGGAACAAAGTTTAAAGGTGTGGCGATGTATGTAATATGGCATCTGGGAGGGAAGGTTAGCTTATCTTTTTCCAGCAAGAACAGGGCTACAGGTATACAGTATGCATCTTAAAAGGTGTGTGCAAAATTGCTTTATTAGAAGAAGGAGCTGCCATCTGGCAGCAGTTGCTAATGAAAAGGGACAGTCAAGTAGCAAACTTTCCTCCTGTTTCCTGACCTGCCGCATATCCCGCCCACCCTTCTCAACAGCCAGGGGACCCTAAAAAGCCCAGCAGCAGAGCTGTCCCTTCTTACAGTTAAAGTGAAACATACAATCAAAAGAAGATACATCAGTTGCTCCTGTGTCCTCTCTTCCATTCTAGGCAGCAGTGCCTAGAAAATCTGCAAGCAGCCGTCGCTGCCTGCTCACTTGCCATCACCTTATTGACAGTGACACATAAACCATTTGCCTTCTCCTCTTACTAGTATACTTCCTTCCAGCTGACTGGGCCCAGTGAGCCAGTTAGAGGCACCCAGTTGGGCAGGGGAGTGGATGGGCTAAGGTGCTCGCTTTTCCAAGAAGCTGTTGCTATTTTCTTTTGCTAACTTTCTCCTGGAAGAAAAGGTTTAGTGATCGGAGGCAGCAGCAATCAGCTTCAGGCAAATTCCACATTGGAAATAATTAGGAAAGGAATGGAAAATACTGATAATACTGCCCTGCTACCAATGTGTGGTGCACCTGTGCTTAGAATATTGTGTATTGCTCTGGTCACCATATCTCAGGAAGGTTCTTATAGAGTTGGAAAAGGTTCCAAAAAGGGCAACTGAAATATATAGTCAAGGAGTGGAACTACTCCTCTGTGAGGAAAGGTTACAATGTCTGGGACTGTTTAGCTTAGAACATGGGTAAGAGGAGACATGATGGAATTGTACCAAAGTATGAGAGGTGTGGAGAAAATGGACTGGGAGACATTCCCCCCCATAATACAAGAACCTGGGGGTCAGGAAGTGGATTAGTGGGAGATTCAAGAAAACTAAAAGGAAGCATTTCTTCATATGGCACATGGTTAAACTCTGGAATTCACTACCAGAAATGTCCACTGGCTTGGATGGCTTTAAAAGGAGATTGGGCAAATTTATAGAGGAAAGGGCTATCGATAGCTACTAGTTCTGATGCCTATATACCATCACTAGTATCAGAAACAGTATGCCTATTTTTACCATTGATGGGGAAATGTGAACAGAAGAGTGTTACTGCACTCGTTTCCTCCTTGTGCACATGCCTACTTGTGGACATCCCACAGACAATGGAACAATGGAAAAGTCCGGAGCATGGGCAGCAAGAAGCTAGACAGAGGCACGGGGACACAGGCAACTCAGTCAATATGGAACCAAGCCGGAGTCCATTCACCAGTCCCAACCAAGTCCAAGTTGTAACCCAAAACAAGCCAAGGAGTGAAAAGGGGAGTAAGACGAAGTGTAGTCCAATAAGGAAGAGTGTAGTCACAGCAGGCCAGAGGTCAGGAACTGGGGAGTCAATACAACCAGGAGCCAGAGCAACAAGATGTAAGCTCAACAGTGGACTACAGCCCACTGAAAACCAGCATGATTGAGGCAACTTCTGCAGGGAAGAGCCAGCTCTTAAACAGCTCTTCCCTGAGGCCTTCCAGGTGGTGCTCATGAAGGCCCTGGTAGCTGCAGTAGCATCTGAGACTAGTGTCTTGAGAGTAGTCCTATAACTACCAGGGCTGTTATTCTGGTGTTTGGCCAGCAGGGGGAGCCCCAGAGCTGCCCAGATCCTAACAGACAACTAGTTAGCCACTGTGTGAACATCATGCTGGCCTAGATAGACTCTTAGTTTGATTCAACATTGTGCTTCTTACATTCTTACTTGCTCAACCATTGCTGCTTGTCATCTTCTCATCCTCACTATCATACATCCAAGAGGAAAGGCACAGGTAAGCAAGTGAGGGGACTAAGTGGCTCACCCATCAATGGTCAACTGTTTCATTGCCCCAAAGAGAGAGAGAAATGAGCAGGCAGAGGCAGCTGCTTATAATCTAGAGGATGCTGCCATAGTCCCAGCCTTGCTTTCCATGGTGCTATTGAGAATCTATATGCTACACCCAGTATTGAAGGCAGTAGGCCAATGTACACCAGTTGCTTGGTCAGGAGGGTTTTGATTTATGCCCTGCTTCTGGGTTTCCCATGGACAGAAAGTGAACAAAATGATGAACTAGATGGCCTGTGGCCTGATCCAACAGGTGTATGTTCTTATATGTGAACAAAATTGAAGGTAGTAGCAGCCACTGCCTTTTCTTGCTTGCACACTCCCCACACTGCTGGAGTCACCAGAGTCCATAGGAGGAGGCACTTCTGGAAGAGGGGGAATCTCCAAGGGGCTTCCTAGCTAGGAAGTTCTTCTGCCTTCTCTTATGCAGCCTCTGCTATTGGGCGAGATTAGCTCACTGATTGCCTTCCTTCACCAGCCGCAATACCAGTCAGCTTCTTTTCCTTCAAAGTAGAAGTGGCCCTGTTAAGCATTCTTTAATTGTCTTTAACATGTACGTAGATGTGACTGCCTTCAGAAAGAAGAGCAGGGTATAAATAAATGAACCTTCAAACTAAAGCAAATAGGGAAGGGGCAGTATGCAAGCAGAACTGGATGGCCATTTTCATTCTGCAAGTTAAAATTCAGACTTCATTGATCCTCCCAGTTCTGTTTCAAAATGTCAATTCAGGAAGCTGAAATTCAAAAACAGTGGTGAAGTAATGCTATGTTCTCTAGGCAGACATCACAGGGACCATGATGGCACAGAACATGCTTCTAAACTCTGAGAAAATGATCTGATCTCAGAAGTGTTTGTCAGCTGTACAACTCTAGACCTTTCTCCCTAGCAATTGGCAACTTGCATATTAAGAAATCTACATGATTTTCCTTATTAGAGTCTGAGTTTAAGTCTACCAATTTCTAACTTTAGCTTTTTTACATGTTTAATGATGTAGAAGCTATGTGTTTAGAATAACTGGCAGGAATGTCAATGAAGGCACTCATTTTCTAATGAATGCTGTATTGTTTCTAGTATGATTTATATTTACACACACACACACACACACACACACACACACACAGGGAGGGAGGGAGGGAGGGAGGGAGGGAGAGCAGACAGTGCAGCTTTCCCCAATAAATCTGTATTGCTCTTCTCTGAGTAAATGCAATAATATTTGTAAGGGTAATGAAAAGTCTTCAAAACAATAGTTCATTGTTTTCGGGAAAAACAGATGTTTGTTACTGGCAATCTTAGATTCAAAGATGAAGGGCTTGGCTTAGAAGCTGCAGTGCAGATCTGGAAAAGTGTTAATATTTACAGTTTCCCGATGGTGCCACCTTGTGGCTAATTTAGGGGAAATGGTGTAGATGTAATTTCATCTGAGTTTGACACAAACTTGCACTATTAGATTACTTAGAATATATTAGTTTAGGAAAGATGAGGTAATAAAGCTTTTTAAAAGAGCACTTGCATATTTTTGCTAGTGGTGATAGTTCTAATAAAGTAGCACTGTGCAAAATAATCCAAAATTTACTTAAGAGTTGTGGATAGTGAAGCTAAAAAGTGAACATTTATTTACTGTTAATCTCCCGATTTCTGACTGCAGCAAAAATCACCATTCCCCAAAATGTATGCAGACTGATTCAGATTCCCAGGTTAAGTGATTATTTATTTATTTATTTATTTAATACTTTTATATGCCGTCACCACATGCCTCAGCATCTCAGGATGGCTGACAAATGTACAATTAAAACCATAAAACAATAACAAATTCCATAACATTATATAAAAACAAAAAAGCAACTGTTAATGATAAAATATTAATTTTTGAAATAGCAATTAAATAAAAAGGTTTTAACCTGGCACCCAAAAGAATGTAAACTTGGCGCCAGGTGCACACTTCCAGGGAGCACATTCCATAATCGGCACCACCGCAGAGAAGGCCTGTTTCGGGTAGTTATTCTTTATATCTCCTTTAAAGAGGGCTCCCACAGCAAAGCCTCTCCTGCAGATCTTAAGGGGCATGAGGGCATGTAAGGGAAGAGGCGCCCTTCAGGTATCCTGGTCCCAAGCCATTCAGGGCTTTATAGGTTAAAACCAGCACCTTGAATTGGGCCCGGACTTCAACTGGAAGCCAGTGTAGCTGGTAGAGGACCGGCATTATATGAGAATAACAACCAGTCCCCGTCAGCAGCCTGGCAGCTCTGTTCTGTACCAGCTGAAGTATTCAGACCATTTTCAAGGGCAGCCCCACGTAGAGTGCATTACAGTAATCCAGCTGGGAGGTTACCAGAGCATGAATCACCATTGCTAGGCAGTGCTTGTCCAGGTAAGGGCACAGCTGGTGGATCAGCTGAAGTTCTAGGAAAGCACTCCTTGCCACCGCTGCCACCTGGGATTCCAGTGACAGCTCTGGGTCAAGGAGCACTCCCAAGCTGCAGACCCTGTCCTTTAGAGGGAGTGCTACCCTGTCCAGAAAAGGTCAAAGTCACTTACTTGAAACCGTGATCCACCCACCAATAGGACTTCCATCTTATCTGGATTGAGGCTCAGTTTATTGGCCGTCATCCAGCCCATTACCTCAGCCAGGCACTGGTTCAGCACAGCCACTGCCTCACCTGGAGTAGATGTAAACGAGAGGTAGAGCTGGGTGTCATCAGCATACTGGTGACACCGCAGCCCAAACCTCCTAATGACCTCTCCCAGTGGTTTCATGTAGATGTTGAAAAGCATGGGGGACAAAATAGAGCCCTTCAGAAGCCCATGGCACATTTGCCATGGCGCAGAGCTATCGTCCCCCAGCACCACCTTCTGGAGTCAGCCAGCCAGGTAGGAGCAGAACCACTGCTAAGCAGAGCCTCCTGCTCCTAACCCGGCCAGCCTATCCAGAAGGATACCATGGTCGATGGTATCGAAAGCCGCTGAGAGGTCCAAGAGAGCCAACAGGGACACACTCCCCCATCCCTCTCCCTGAACAAGTCATCATACAGGGTGACCAAGGCAGATTCAATGCCATAACCAGGTCTGAAACTGGACTGAAATGGGTCCAGATATAACATGCCACACAAACTAGGTTAATCATAATACCTTACCTTCTCAAACTGTGATTTCAATAAATGATAGCCATATAAGGTAGTATTAGCTGACACTAGTCGTGAGGTCGTAACTCACGTCTCCAATTAACTCACACAGCAGCCGGCAGTGAAGCTAAAGACTTTAATTGCTATTCACTACAAGATTTATGATGCAACTGATAAGCTCTAATAACAGGCCCCTTTCAGTTCAGTTGCTCCCTTCTTTCTGAGCTATGTCAGGAGACCACTTGGCATCAGACCTTCTTGTCTTGCCTTTCCATTTGTGGGTGGGACAGACCTCTGTCCTGTCATTGTAATTGGACTTGTCGCCTTAAAGATCTCCTGATTTGGGCATTTGCCAAATTCCCCATCATGTCTTCTAGTTCTCCTGCACTCTGCTCAGCAGCTTCAGAGTCAGGAGCTGGGGTGGCGGGGCGGGGTAACTTGTTCAGGCAGCTCAGAGCTAGGATGAGAGGAAGCTACTCTTTCAGACACCTCCCTGTCAGTCTGTGGGGAGGCCATTCGCTCAGGGGCTAAGGGGTCAGGCTGTGGAGAGGTTACTTGCTCAGCAGTCTCAGAGTCAGGCTGCAGAGGGGCTGTCTGGGCACTGGTCCTCAAATATAAGTCCCCTTGTTCCAATGCCTGACTCTCACTGTTAGCTCCTGCCTCTTCCTCATGAGTAGACGTCTCTGCTGAGCCGTCAGGCACGACACTAGTGTAGTGTCAGCAGAGGCTTCAAAATGATCAGTTCAGTTCTGATACATTTAAAGGGAACTTTTTTCACTTGTATTCATTGTGTTGACCACTAAAACACACACACACACACTTATACAGTTTTCTATTATGGTGTGATTGGTTGTCTTCTTGTACTTTCTTCATAGACGGTCAAAGCATTTCTTCCAGCCATGATAGCCTCTAATCATGGACATCTGGTGACTGTTGCAAGCATGGCTGGGTTAACTGGTGTCAATGGACTGGCAGGTTAGTACACAGCAGATAAACATGAACTAAATATATGAGTTGCATAGCTCTTTGGCCATTTTAGCACTGTGCTCCATTCTATAAATTGCAAAGGGACGAGCAAGCAAGACACCTTGACAACCCATGGTTGTGATATGATTTGTTGAACCCATGTTGTGTTACTGCGCTAACCAAACCTAGGAAACCAGTCCCGGCATGGGTTGTGGTGAATGAGCTTCTTGGCAAGGAGCAAAGACCCCTTGCTGCTCTTGGCATTCTTACCCATCCAACTGCCTGTAACAAGTGCTGCACAGGTGCCTAGGTGGCACTTCGGAGCAACAACCAGTGGCTTGTCGTGCATCATCTTTATTTTTGGGGTGGCAGAAACATGTGGAATAGGAATAAAATATGGCATAGCATTGTGTACCTAAAATTTATTTTTAATATAAATAGTACCAAGTATTGATATATATGATGATTTAAGCAAAACTTGCAGGAAACTTAAGCTTCCCTCAGGGAACTTAAAATCTACATTTTGACAGTGGCAGAGAACTGGGATGGGGAAGGAAATGTGAAATGGAAGCATAGTCATAGGTAAATGTACCAAAGTATGCCTATAAGAGTTTCCAATCTTTTTGGAATGGTGGACATGTTTGGAATTGGAGAGAATCGCCTGGGTGCTTTCACACAGTGAAAGGGGGAATCTTTCCTTTCACCAGGGGAATCTTGCCCATTGATGGCTGTGGTGGGCATCAGTAGTCCCAGAACACTCATTTCTGAGAAGCCACACTGAAAGGAAATTAACTTGCCAAAAGCCTAAATACCAGGCAGAATTGAAGTCCATGTCTCCAAACATAGAACTCTGTTTTGAACTAAAAGATGGCACTGGAGAGCAGCTCTTCATTTTGTAGCAAGCCAGCCTCCCATTTTTTAAAAATGGGATATAAAACAATCTTAAGCAGCAAGATAAAACTCTGGAAGGACAGGGACCCTGAAAGATTTCGAGAGAGTTAAATGTAGGCATGTTGAAGACCCCAGAATCGGGCTTTGTTTGGGAGGAAATTAAGGACTTTTGGTTAAAGGGTTTCCTTAAAATTTTAAAAAGAGGGTATTATGAAGCTTCAGTGTTCATGCTGAGGCAGCAGGTTTGCATAGTCTCTGTGACAAGGATGGGCTGTCTCAACCTGACAGAATGCATGGGGCAAGATAGATTTTAGGTTTGTTTTCCTTGTAATGATGACTGCTCTCCAATATACGAGTAGCATTGCTAACAAGAACATAACATACAGTAGAGCACCAACATATTGAGGAAGAAACAATGTCACTCGATATCACTTAGAAGGCTAGCTGCTTGTACGATTTGCAACAAGAAATACAGACATTGGAAATTAATATTGACTTACAACAAGCACTACAGCTACTGAAAACAAAGGAAGAGAGATGGGGCAGGGGTGTAAAGAAGAGAATTTTTTATCTTAAATGGAATGATTTAAATGGGTTGGCACGTTTATATGTGGTATGGAAAGGCTAAGTTACATGATTCTTTTGTATTTAAGTTACTGTACTAGAAAATTATTAATGTTGGTGTAGGAAAAGTTGTGCAAACATGGTCTTTTTAAAAAAAAAAATTACCCATGGAAGCTTTTCTGTATCCAAATGCATTGAATTCTGAAGGGATTATAAGATATGATCTAAATTGAGCTAAGAAATATAAGAACAGGGAGTTGATCTTTTTCTTCGTTGGTGACATAAGGTGTAGATACAGTCGAGATATGTTAAAGATTGTAAAGAGTGGGGCTTTTATAAGGAGTTAAAAGCATTTAAGTCATGCTTAAGTTAGATGAAACATTAGCAACTTAGTATAAAGTTTGTATAAAATCTATTATAGGTAGTAGTTGTCACCAAATAGATTAGCTAAGATGTTTCTAAAGATGTTAAATGGATGTTAGGTATTTAAACATAAATTGGGTATTTTTATTACATAGAGAGAGTGGTACAAAAATCCTTAGTTTCTTAAACCAGAAATTTCTTTTTTAGTAGGCATTATATTGGAATATTAGTAAATAAGAAATGTATTTGATTTTACTTGTAATCTTTGTGGTGAGGAGTCTATTTGTTTAATATTGGAAAAATGAAGAATTACCCATCGACAAATTGATTAAAAGATTCTGAACTGTGCAGAAATGGTCAGACTGAATTTACCATTGTAGGAGTAAGAAGATATTGACTTCCATCAAACTTGGAGACTTTTTTCTTTATTATTGGCTAGAGAAACAGGACTTTGCATAGATTTAAACATTTTTTTTGGACTTGGCTTAGATTTAAATATGTTCTCAAGTTATTATAAATGGATTTGAATAGGACTAAGAAATGTTAAAAAGAAAGAAAGGATGAGTAGGGGGCTGACCCAGTATGTCTGATGGAATTGATGATTGGTGTTTTTAGTGTTAGCTTAAAAATTTTAATAAAACTTATTTTAAAAAAAGAGGGCTAGCTGCATATTATACACATACAGGACTTTAAAGAACAAGGGCGAGAACAAGCATGCCTTAAATATGTATCTAGCATCTTAAATATGTATCTAGCATCCATCCATTTTGACTTTAGAGCAAGTTCAGGGAGCCTGAGCCAGATCTTAGAAGCCTCCTGCCTCCATACTGGAGTTCCAAGCTAGATGAAAGGACCTGTGCCTACTTTAAAATAAAAATGGAAAAGATGCAGCTGGTAGATACACATGTTCTGGCCCATATACTTGACGTGCAATGCCACATGTGTTTCACTTGAATAATTATGTTCCTTTTGGCAAGAGAGATTTCATTTGAGGGGAACTTCAGCAAGACTCTTCCATCACCCACCTTCACTGCAAGAGTTTAAGAAAACTGAAAAATTGTTTTCTGAAGATGTTTATTGGACTGTTCAGGGCCTTTAACTTACAGTTCTGTTTTAGATTTTATTACTGACCAGGCTAGATATTTTCTTGCTGATTGTTGTTTAATATTACTTTCTTTGTGTTATTGTGTGAATAATAATGAATTTGCTGCCATTGCTTTATTATCTAATGCACATTAGGACAGTTTATATTTAAAGGCAGCCTAGAAATATTTTAAATATTGCATAAATATTGACAAAACTACAGTGAGCAGAGGAATCTGTAATCTGAAGAGAGTTAATCACTTTCAGACACAGTAATGAAGAAATTTAAGAGCGCTTTTGGCTGCTGTGAAGAATCATGGCCAACCCAGCTGCATAATACAAAATGTCCACAGTGTAATGTCCAAAAAAAGTTGTGCCTAAAAGAATTGTTCTCCTTTACATTGCTATGATGTTTCTTTTTTCTCACTTTACAGATTATTGTGCAAGCAAGTTTGCATCTGTTGGCTTTGCAGAGTCCCTCATTTTAGAGTTGTTATCAATGGGCAAGACTGGTATTAAATCCACGATTGTCTGCCCATATTTCATCAACACTGGAATGTTTGATGGCTGTCAGACAAAGTGAGTAACCTGTTCATATATGCATATGGCCTTAAAAGAATTGTGTAAGAAAATTCATGAAGATGGGTTAAAACATAACGGGAGTTGCTCTTGTACCCAGTTCCTTAAGTAGATGTAGAGAAAAGTAAGTTCTACTGGAGGTTGATTCTGCGTAACTGCATACACAAGAGGTTGATGTTTCTTTGTGAGGTGGAAGCTATTAAGAATAATACTTTTACTTTTCCACCAGAACATGACTAATCAGATCAAAAACACCTATGAAAGAATTACCACAATTACCCTCTCTGCTGTGGTTTTGTGAAAGCTTGTTAATGGAACATAAATCAATAAGAGTTTAGGAAGCTTATATAAAAAGTGGAACTCTTACTCAAATTCCAAATTTTAAAAGGAGCACCAATTGGTAAAACTAGCTAATGGTACGGCAGCTGAAAAACTTAGGGCACCATTTTCAAGTCTAGACAGGAAAAAGTCCTATCAAAAGCACAGCTGGTTGTGGGATGCCAGAGACTGCAAACTTTTTTCCTGTCTAAACTTGCACTGAATTGTGTCCTTAGCACCTTTTTCTTAACTACCTTAGAAACAAATAGCCACCCAATTAAGCAATTATACTGCTAAGACAACAGATGTGAAAGTATTACTGAAGAAGGCTGAGAAATTTCAGAGAAGCTAAATTAATTACTTCCATCTGTCTTTGCTGCAGAAGGTGTTAAACATTGACCCATGCTTGAAACACTGGGTGATCTGAAGAATTGGGTGAAATCGACTAATTGACCAATTTAAAATTGACAAATTAGAGGGTTTGGATGGCCTGGTTTTCTAATGCAAATGCAAAATTGTTGGCTACTAATGAAAAATACAGTACTTCCCTGGAAGACAGCAATGTCATACATACATACACTAGAGTCTGTCCCAGGCAAATTGGTAGATTGTTTTATTAATGCTTGGCTTATTGTGAATGAGGGGCAGAAAGAAGATCCACAAAACTGTATTTTATTTTTTGCTTACCTTCTTTGTTTGTTCTTGTTGGTTGCCCTCTTGTTAAGACTATAAAACCTCATCCTGCATCTAGAAAGGCTTAACAAAATCATGTAAAACACTTACATTCCATCTATCCCAACACCTCTCAGAACAGCTCACAACAAAACAGCACAATTAAATAGCATATAAAACCTAGAATAAAATTCCTATCTTAAAAATGCAATCGAGCCTTAAAATGCTGGGTAAATAAAAAGGTTTTGGCCTGGCACTGAAATAAATAAAGTGTTGGTGCCAGGCACACCTCTCTGACAGATTCCAGCCTGTCACTGATTCAGAACAGTTACTCCCTCACCTGGATATAGATGTAAAGGAGAGATAGAGCTGGGAATCACCAGCATACTGGTGACACCTCAAACCAGTCCTCCAGACAACCTTGCCTATAGTTTCATGTAGATGTTGAATAGCATGGGGGATAGAATGGAAGCCTGAGGACATAATTGCCATGGCACAGAGCCATTTTCTCTCAGCACCTCCTTCTGGAATTAGCCAAGTAGGAGTAGAACCATTGCAAAGCAGTGCCTCCAACCATTTTTGGACACCAATCTGAATTCCAATACATTTAGTAAGTATAAAATTTTCCCAAATACAATTTTGATTTGTTTAAAATCATGCTTTGATGTGCTGAAAACCAGGGTGGACTTGATTTAAATCACTAGTCAATAAGAGTAGATTTACATCAAGGTTTTCTACATAATTTGCACACATGCCTGCCTTACCTGTAAGTAATATTCCCAACTGGGTCTCTTTTACAGCCTGCTGCCTTTATAGATTTTCTCCTTCAGGGAAATAAAATGCCAAACCGTAGGCTATATGCAAAAATATCAAAAGACTTGTGCAGTATTCTGATCAAAAGTTTTCACTTGCATTGTTACTGTTTGCCCCTCCTTCCTCACACTTCGCTTCCTGTGCAGATCTAGGCCACTTCCAACAATCTTCCACTCATTGAATTTTCTGAAACTTAGCACTTGAGGTAAGGGGGTTGATTTTCTGTACACAGATTTGCAAAGGAACAATGAGAGTAAGGTATTTTTCTCAACTCTGTATATTTATTTTATAACATGTTTGCTGTGAAGAAGAAACATAAGATCTCTGCAGACGCAAATTCACAGTTTTGAGAACTGTAAAACCAAGCATTTGTGACAATATCTTCTAGAAAGAAACAATTGTTCAATAATCTTACAGAAACCTAAATACTGTGAGAACATCAGCACAAACTGGCATGAACGAGGAACAAAATTGTGCATCCTTCTGAATAATAGTATTACTTGTTTCTAGAGTCATTTTTCTACCCATACACAAAACTCCCCTGGTGAGCCCCATGTGAAAGGCTAACAGTACTTTCTCCCACTCTGTCCTGCATCAGCTTCCAATGAGCATAACTATAGGCTTCAGATGTTAGGGTTAAAATCTCTCAGTTTTTGGGGAATTGCTGTGAAGGAAATGCCTGTCAGTTATGAAACTTCTAAAAACACTTTCTGCTAATGGAACCGTATTCATTGTGACAGCATGTTCCTATAATACCACTTTTCTCACAACTTAAATATTTGGTTGAATAAGAATTGCACAGCTATCCAGTTGCCCTATTTAGTAAAATCTGTACAGTTTTTCATGGAGAAGCCCTACATACAGTGCAAGCATATTTAAGTGTGAAAAAAATGCCTGCATTTGCTCTGTAGTGTGTACTTTCCATGGCCCCAGTGACATTCCAGAGAATCTGAGTCGGGTCAAGGCCTTGCTTTCTTTCTGGTAAAGTCCTGTCCATTCTAAAGGGGGAGAGTAACAATGTATTTGAATATTGTCAGAGGGTCTTGGACCAGGCAAATTCAATTCTCTTTGACTAGAGATTCTAGCTAGGTGGAAGAGTGATGGGGAAATGTCAGTTCGCCAATGAGAGTGACAGACAGGAGTTCAGTCAGAGGAGCAGACTGAAGAGAGAAAGTCTGCTAATTGGTTTGTGATGGAAAAAGAACTGAGAAAGCGGCGGAAAGTTAATAACTACTATTTCTTTGTGGAATAGCATTAGATTGGCTGGTGAAGATTAGGAGTAGGGAGCAGGTGGCTTTCTTATGCCAAGAGGCTGCTATAAGATCTTTCCAGAGGAAAGTTATATACCCAGACAATAAGTTATATAACCTAAAAGTTATATAACCAGATGTACCATCCAAGCAGCCAGTAATACATCAAGAGAAGCTTGGGTGTCAGAGGAAACTGTACTCCAAAGATGGACTGGTTGTAAGTCTCTTTAACTGGGGAGGACAATTTAGGAGTTTGGATGGAGGTAAAAGAGATCCTTACAGGACTTTGTATAGCAACAAGGAATGGGTTCGCATGACACAACAACCCACCATGGGTAATTAGCCAGGCTGGGTTGTTGCATCATCTGAACCTAGACGGCTTCCTGCAGGGTGGCTTATTTTAGGGTAACAAGCCACTGTGACTATGTTGCTTCTTCTGTGCCTTCTTCTAAGGGTTATTAGACTCACAATGGGCAGGAAAAGAGACATATCATCTGAACCTGAGAGACCAATTCCATCATGGCTTGCAGGGAACAGCTAGCAAGCTGCTGCAAGAACTGCAAAAACCCTTTGCTGCTCTTTGCAATCTTGCTGTGCCACTACCAGTGACAGCCGCCTCACTGATGCACAGATAGCATTTCAGAGGCATATTTATTCATCCACCATCTTTTTTCCTCAGCCCTAGAAATATCTGTAAACGTTGCATTCATTTGTTGCTGTTGTCAGGCTTTCAAAGAAGCACAACTGTGCACCTGCTGCTATCCAATACATGTATTCTTATTTGGTTGATGTCCTTGTAAGTTTCATAACACCCACAAAAGGGGTTGTGGTTGATGCCAGTGGAGAAAACAAGATGGGTCCCATGTAATACTCACAGAAAGAATAATGAAGGGACAACCCACAGTGATCCCAGTCATCTCTTGGGCATACGGTGGGTTGTTTCACAAACAATTCACATGATGGAGCTCATTCACAAAATGTGTTGTCATGTCGTGTGACTGCAAACATGCATTGCCTTCCCTGTCTAAAACTACTGCATGACTCAATGCAGAAATTACAAGATTTCATGACCTAGATCCATGCAAAATTACTTTATTGATTAAATGTAAGACAATTGAATGTGTACTTATTAATATTTATCTTCTCCATCCACTTTACATTGTATAAATTAAATTAAAGCTATCTGGGATAATTTAGAGCAATATATACTCAACATGAAAATGAGATACTTATCTTCTTGCTTGTTAATGGAAAACTTAAATGGAAGATGTGGTACCAGTGATTCAATATTTATCACTTCAAATTGCTGGCCTTGGAGAGAGTTAATAGATTATGAATCTGCTTTTATTAGACAGTCTATGGACACTAACATTAATTACTAAAAAATTCTGCCAATTTTCCAACTTGGCAACAGCTTTCTGTAAGATAGTAGAGGACATTAATAATGTTGTTATAAATTATACCAAAACTGAGATTTAGTCTTATAGAAATTTATATAGTTGGACTTTCAGTGGCAATCCAGTTGAATCCATATATTATAAGTATACTTTAAAATGGAGCATTCAGAGATTTTGGCACTATTGTTTGCACAGAATACCCCAGAAGTTCTCAAAAGACTATATTTTTCCACTGTAGATGATAAATGCATATGACTTTTCAGCTACACCTTTATATGTACACATATGGGTAGCCACTTGGATATAGGATATAAATAAGGTGGTTGAAGAGTTCAGCCACTTTTCCTTAGGACAATTCTTGGGGTAGCTAGATGTGAAGCAAACAACTATTGAGCTTGGACACTGGATTAAACTCCTGCCCATCTGCTCTGGCTACATTGATTAAATTTTGTTTTGCTGAACAGAATTATCGCTACCAAACTTATATAGAAATAGCTGGTTGAACACTGTACACTGTAAAATGAACTTATCATTTGAACTTTTTTCTTTGAGCAAGGAAAGAAAAAAATAACTTTTTTGTAAGATATATTACGTTTGAGCATCAACATTTTATATCTCTGGTACTAAATTCTGTTTTCCTTCCATTTATGTATTTAAAGCTTTTATATACTGTTCTGTAGTAAAAACTTCCATTTTTAGTATTCAGTTCCCAATTGAGAACAAAGGTGCTAACTATCTAGTCTTCATATTTATAGGCCTTGGGCTGAATTTACACTGGTCTGTATGAATGCAGAAGCATCTTCCCTACTAGAGAAGAGATTCTCATTTAGGATCAAAACTAGCACTGGGCGGGGGGGGGGGGGGGACTGACCATGCAATGTTATCTCCTTTAATATTTCTTACCAGGTGGCCAGTTTTGCTGCCTATACTCGAGCCAGAATATGTGGCTGAAAGGATTGTGTCTGGTATTCTACGGAATGATTTATATATCTTATTGCCACGAAGCTTATACTTTTTGAATGTAGTTAAAGGGTAAGATTTTTTACATTCTTCTCACTTTCTGTTTTTTCCAAAGTCTGAGGTCAGCAAATGAACTTAATCTTTACTCTGAATCAATATGAACCTAGCACTAGTCACAAAGGGGTCATTTTTGATCCCAGACAGTAGTGCCTTAAGCAAGACAAATGCTCCATATGAAAAGCCTTTGTTCCAGTTAAATGTTTCCACCAAGCTATAACAATCGCTTTCAGGTCTCGCTATAGGTAAGTTGATATTTAATTGTTCCTGAGGCATTGTAAAAATTCTGCATAACTATAATTTGGTCTGCAAATGTTAAACCAGCATAAAATGGCATTCCCCCAACTGATTTTAATTCTGTTTGCTGGAAGTTTTGGGTCAGACTCTTGGCTTGCTTAACAGACCAAAATGATCTGTACTGAATATTGTAAAGATTTTTCAACTAACAGATCAAAAATGCCTGAAGAAACTCAAATATTATCTTAGTGGCATTAGTCAGCTACCATGCAATCCGGAGGGGAGACTCATGACCTTCTGTGGCATTGGGTACTTTCACCTGATGTGCTGAGCCATTCTGCCAACGGGCTACACAGAATGGATTGCTCAAGGACCAACCCATGGTACACTGATTAAATTAAATTAATTTAACAACCTATTAAATTCCCTGTGGTAGAAGACAGCCTTAACTTGGTGCTGTCAAGATATTCAAATTGGCACTGGTCAAGCCTCAATGGGAGGTTGTTTCATAACTGTGGTGCCATTACTAATAAGGCTCTTCTTGTTGCCACCAAGGAAGCCTCTTATCAACTGAACCTCTCTTGATTGTGTCTGGGTAGATTAGGGCTGAGAGTTGTTCCATTAAGTAGTGTGATCACAATGTGGGCCTTTGTAGGTTAAAATCAGCACCTTGATTTGGACTCTGAAGCAAGTATGCAACCAATGCAAATGGACCAGAACACATAGGTGCCTGCTGATTCTTTCATGGCCTGACCATTCCCTTTTGCAAGCTTCTTCTGTGACAGTGATTCAGTGTATCTGAGCTAACCCAAAATGGGCAAAAATGCTCTTTTCTAGAAAGAGGCAGGTTGTCAGAGCTCACATATAGGAGTCTCATGGATCTGCCTGATTCTAGAAATAAGTGTCTAAGTATTTCAGGCAAGCATCTATGGAAGAATCTGTTGTACTGCTAGGAGGCCACTGTCTTAAAAGTCAGTCCTGCCATACTTCACTTGGGGCTGGACTTCAGAGAACCAAATGCAGACTGTGAAGAGATTCTTAAAATCCAGAGAGGTATATGCAAAAGAATGGATTGGATTAACAGACTTCACATAAGTAAAAAAAAGTGAAAACATCCAGTCATTTATGTCATGTGTAGTTAATTCATATGCAGCAGAAAAGAAAGGGACATGATGGATAGGCAGCAGCAAAATAGCAGCAGAGGGTTGTTAGAGCCAGAATGGACTAGTGGTTAGAGTGTTGGACTTCTAGTCCCAGCTGGGTCATGAAGCTCACTGAGTGGTGTCGGCCAGCCACTCGCTCTCAGCATAGCCTATTTCACAGGATTGTTGTAAAAATAAAATGGAGTAGGAGAGGGCCATGTAAGCCCTTAGGTAGACTTTTCATTAGCCTGTATAGATTATTTGATGATTGTGACTTTACTTTTCTATGATGCTGTCCCATTTAATTTTCCTGTTGTTGCATTATATTCTTGAAATTTGCTTTGATTAATTCATGTTTAGCATCCATGAATGCTAAACAGTGGATAATAAATAGTAATAAAGCTAAAAAACTGTCTCCTTAAGTTTAACTTTGGTGTTTGTGTTCTGCCCTCTTTTCTTCTAGTATTGCACCTACAAAAATATGTCTTCTCCTTGGAGAATACCTGGGTGTTTTCATTTTTATGGATAAGTTCAGAGGTCGGTCAAAGAAGATTGAAGACAATAAATACCAGAAACCAACAAGAAAAATTCCAAATTCTGTTGGATGACCTGTGTACTGAAAAGCAGATGTATGCAACTCTCATAATGACTAAGTGTTAGTGTTCTGGATGCTTATGCCTAAAATATCAAAGCAGGGATGAGTCATTAGAAGTAAAATCTACTGTTGAACCAAATAACATGGATATGGAAATATGAATGACTTTAATTACAGCTACTTTTGGCATTGCTACAATGTTCCTCTGAATTATAACTAATGAACAGTCTAATTCTTGGAAATCATGGTATTTTATTGTACAAAGTTTATTGCTTTTCTTTTTATACACAAACTGAATAGTGGCAATAATGAAATTATACTCTTCTTAATAAACATGATTTCAGCAGCTAAAGACACCTGAAGATAAATGTTGCTAACACTCATAGTATTGTTGAAAATGAAATGGCAAGAGTACTGATTAATACAGTATCTAATAGATGCTTTTATTCTCTTCTGTCCCAAAGATCTAAGGAAGTTTACCATTAGGGATGGGTGAGAAATGTATTTGTTTTTCAATGCAAACTCCCCAGATTTGTATCTTCCAGACAAAAATCAGAACACAAATATCAGAATCCCTGTTTTTCCAAAGTTTGAGATGCACTACTCATTAAAAAATGTAGAATTTGAGAAGGCACACACAATAAAATGCATTTTTTAAAGTGCACAGAGGGAGGTATCCATTACTGCTCCCACTTGATTTGTTATACAAGTGGGACCTATGCATCAGGGAAACTGGCAGTTCTATATAGCTCTTCTCCAGATCTCTCAACATTTTCAAGAGGCAGAGATCTAGCAGGGCATGGGCCCAATCCTGCAATTACTATTATAACTGTTCCAGTTCTGGCCATCAGAGGGAGCCCCAGAGCTGCCAAAATCCTGACAAATGCTCTTCAATGGGGAAAAAAAGCAATTTGAAAAAGTGTGTGAATTATTATTAGTATTTTTAGTACTATTAGTATTTATTTCACCGTAACTAAAGCTTAGCTTTAAAATACAGTAAAATACATTAAAAGACCCAGCAAGAATTACTAGAATAGTAATTCAGGCCACTGGATAACCAAGATCGTCAAAGGCCTCCACATAGAGGGCTGTCTTGACCTAGTGCCAAAAACAGTAACAGGCAGGCCACAGCAGGGTGGTTGTTCCAAATATGGGGGATCTTGCTTTCACATGCCGAAAAAGTGTGCAGAAAATACAGGTGGCTTTTCATGCATACTTTAACAGATCAATCTAGTCAAGAATTGAGAACAATTAGAAAAATGAGAAGCTGAGCAAAATCAAGCCTGACAGTTTTACCTATTGCTAGTTTTAGTGTGTGTGTGTTTGTGCGTGGATGCGTGTGTGTGGATCTTACCTTGCATCCTTGAAGGTACCCTGTAAGAAAGAATTGGCTGAAGCTTCCTAATCCACTTCATAGCAAAGCAGCAACCTGATCTTGAGCCTTTAAACCAACTCACCTCTACCCTTTACACACTGATGAATTTGAATGTCAGTTGAATAATCTTATTAGATTTAACACAATGTAAAATAATAGCTAAAATAATTATTTGTATAGTATGTGAAAGCAATTGGGTCAAAAAATCCCAATTTCATGTGTAAGCTGATGGCAACTAAAGTATCAGTTTATGATGGACAGCACACTGTAAATGTCTAACCAGTGTGTGGCTGCAGTGAAATGGCAAATGCCATCTTAGGCGTAATTAGGAAAGGCACTGAAATAAAACTGTCAATTTTGAGGCTGCCTTTCTTTAAATCTGTGCTACAAATCTATATGCTTGGCATACAGTGTATAGTGCATCAGGTCTCAACATTGCAGGATTTTAGAAATACCCTGAAAGCTTGGTTGTTTACTATCACCTTCCCCTGATTTAGTTGTGTATTTTTTGTTGTTCTTTTTCAGGTTCTTTTTTCGCTTCGGTTGGTTTTATTATTAAATTGTAGCCATCTTTAATTGTTGTAAAAGTGCTTTGAGCAGTTTCCTGCTCTAAAGATGGTCTACTAATATGTTTAATAACAGTAATAATTAAAATGACCAGAGGGATGGAGCAATTGCTGTATTAGGAATGGTTGCAACATCTGCAACTATTTATTTTAGAAACAAGGCAAGTAAGGCTACAATTGATAGAGATATATGAAACTAGAAGGTTAGGAGAATGTTGCTAAGGAGATATTTTACTCCCACTTGCACCAGAAGCTAGGGTTATCCCATGATCCTAATGGATAGAAGATTTAGGAGCAAATAAAAGGAACACTTCTATACATAGCACATTGTTAAACTAGCAAACTTGCTTCTACATGTTGTAATTATAGTCTTCAGTTTGAATAGCTTTATAAAGGGATTAGAAATATTCAAGGCAGAGAAGGCTATCAATGCCTGCTAGTTCTGATGGCTGTATGTTACTCCCTGGATCAGAAGATGCATGCCTATGTATACCCATAGCTGGAGAACCCAACCAAGATGTTGGCATACCACTTGTAATTGTGAATTTTCCAAGTACAGTGGATTGATGACTGTTAAGACGATGGACTAGATAGACCTTGGTCTAACTCAGCATGGCTCTTCTTGAATTCTAATGTCAATCAATTAAACAAGTCCAAACAATATTTCAGTATGTAGTACTTTATATAATACTATATTTGATACAAGAGCATATAGCATGTAGACAGCACACAGAGCACCTGTTACCAAGCATTCTACTAACATGATTGGCACTCTCAGTACCTACATCACCTATCATTGGTCACTGGTACATTTATGTTCTTGTGGACAGCAGTGGGGGAGTATATGCAGTTCATGCAGAAGTTCCAGGTTCGAACCTCAGCATCTCTAGGTAAGTTGGTGAGTTCCATCCACACATACATTCACTCTACTTTGAATGTCCCAGTGAAATCCCAGGCCTTAATTCACTTGAGAATCTGTGTCAAGACATGAAAGTTGCTGTTCACCAATTATTCCCATCCAACTTGCCAGCACTGGAGAAGTTTTGCCATAAGGAATGGGCAAGCCATACAAGATCCAGATGTGCAAAGGTGATACAAACCTATTCAAGAACCTTAACAGCTATAATTCCTGCCAAAAGGGCTTCCACAAAGTATTGACTCAGAAGAGTAAATACTTATGCAACAAACATGTATTGGTGTATTTTTGTAAACTTGTGTGTCTGAGGGACTGATAAGGCCGAGCTCAGCCACTGCAAGCCCTTTTGGCTTTGGCCCCTTGGCATCGTCCCTTGTCTGCAGCCCTTAACTGCGGCCCGGGCTGTCTGGGGACTCCCTTCCCTGGGACGCAGAGGTTTGTTTGTTTGTTTGTTTGTGCTGTGCTTTGCTTTGTTTTTTTTCCAATTTAAGTTTATTTTATCCTTGTGTGTGTGTGTGCAAGTGGGTTTTTGTCTGGGAAAACTGGGCAAGTGAGAGGAACTGCAGGACAAACAAGGCAGGGGACCAAGGTAAGGACTCAGAAGGGATACCGATGGCAGACCAGGAGATGGCCTTGTTTGCCCTTCTCCCCCAGGAGAGGCAGGGATACACTTGCCCTCGGTGCAAGATGGTGACCCTGCTAGAAGAGGAGGTGAGGTGCCTGAGGGCCGAGACAGCTCTCCAGGCCCCCCAGGAGCAGCCCCCCTCTGGACAGAGGGTTGAGGGAGAGGCCACGGGAGAAGCAGCTGCGGAGATATGGAGGTATGTCACCCACAGGAGGAGGAGGCAAGAGCAGCCGCCTCCTTCTCCTGGCACCAATCTGGAGCTGGGAAACAGGTTCTCTCCACTTGGGGAGGCTGGGGATGATGAGGCCTCGGGGGACCAGCAGGACCCCCAGCCTGGGACGACAAGAGGCAAGGGGGCGACTGCAGGAGAGGCGAGGACCAGGGCACGGCTGCCCACCAGCACCGGGAAGGCACAGTGGTGGGTGATTTTTGTTGGGGACTCCCTGCTGAGAGGCACTGAGGCGGCTGTGTGCTGCCCCAGCCTGGAGACAAGGGAGGTTTGCTGCCTGCCGGGCGCACGCATCTGGCATGTGAAGGACAGAGTGGAGCGTCTTGTTCGCTCCGGGGTCACCAGCCACTCCTGGTGATCCATGTGGGCACAAATGATGTGGCCAGGCAGGGTGTAGTCGGGATCACCAGGGACATTGAGGCCTTGGGGAAGAAACTCAGGGAGCTGAAGGCCCAAGTGGCCTTCACGTCAATCTTACCTGTCCGGGGATTTGGGCCAGGAAGGGACAGGAGGACCGCTGAGGTGAACGACTGGCTTAGGGTGTGGTGCCAGAAGGAACACTTCGGGTTCCTCGACCACGGCACTCATTTTTTTGCCAATGAACTTCTGGCAAGGGACGGGTTACACCTCACGAGGATGGGGAAAAGGTCCTTTGGAGATGCTCTAGCGAGCTTCATCCAGAAGACTTTAAACTGGGGGGAGGGGGGTTCAGGCCCCCCAGTAACGTGTCTGCACTGGACAAGTGTGGGGGGAGGATCAGGGCTCTGGGAGCAGGGTTTTAGAGGTACTGCAGGGACTGACAGGACTCCTACAGAGAGGGGCCAGGTATCAGGGAGGATGGGAGGAAGGAGGAGGCTGGGAACTCCAAGGAAAGGAAGCGGTGGGAAGGAGTTGAGGTGCATGTACACCAATGCTAGGAGCATGGGTAATAAGCAGGAAGAGCTTGAAGCTCTCTTGGGAATAGGAGGGTATGACCTGGTGGGAATCACAGAAACTTGGTGGGATTAAAGGCAAGTCTGGAATGTGAACACAGAAGGGTATCACCTTTTTAGAAAGGACAGGAAGGGAAAGAGGGGTGGGGGCGTGGCTTTATATGTCAGGGAAGGGATAGGATGCAGTGAGATAGAATGCAGCACAGGTGGGGATTTGGTAGAGGCAGTCTGGGTGAAACTTAGGGGTTTTAACAGGGAAAGAGACCTGACAGTGGGGGTATGTTAAACTTGAGACCCTGGATGATGTCCTGACAGGCCAGATTCTAAGGATATCTCGGGGAAGAGACACAGTAATTATGGGAGATTTCAATCTCCTGGATATTAGTTGGGAGACTCATTCGGCGGTGACAGCCGGGTCACATCGCTTCCTAGAAGCTATAGAGGGAGGGTTTTTCACACAGAGGGTCCAAGAGGCGACGAGGGAGGGAAACATCCTTGACTTGGTCTTGACCAATAGGGAGGAGCTGATAGATGAAGTACAGATCAGGGGAGCTCTGGATGCAAGTGATCACTCCATCCTTTGCTTTGAGATCAGGGGACTGGGGACGTGCGAGCGGGACTTCAAGAGGGCCAACTTTGGCCAACTGAAGGCCAGACTGGGGATAGTCTCCTGGGATAGGTTACTGGAAGGTAAGCGAGTTGAGGAGGG